CATCAGCATAAACATGCATTACAATTCAGGTGACCAATATTTTATTTGCTTATGCAGTACCTTTATTAAAACCATAATTTTGCTCTCCCCATCATCCCTTGAAACCGTACCTAAAGTAATAAAAATACAGGCACAAGAGTTTTTGTAGGGTCATCAATGTCACTTTGAAAATGAAAATTATGAAGGAGAATTTTTCAGCACCTCAAGACAACTGCTACATCTAACCTCAGCTTTGTGGGCTAAAGTGCAATTAGGATCTACCTACATATCACCATTCTATCTTCTTTTGAGGATTAAGATAAAATGGCAGAATTCCACATATTTATACATATAAAACACAGAAAATATTCAATTTTACAATATTTGTCACAGATAAATCTATTTATCTAAATATATATACAGTCAAAAGTCGTTAATCCGGACTCGTCGGGACTTAAGCGATTCCGGATTATTGATTTTTCCGGATTAAAGATCATCAGTTTAAATCTGGTAAGATGGCATGCAGAAATTATAAAATTAAAAATATGAAACCATAATTTATGAAATAAAGAACAATTATTATCTAAAATGCATCAAAATTTACAAAAAAAAAAAAAAAAAAAAAGCTTAATATTTATTTGTTTACTTTATTAAACATTTCTTTCAATGTAAGTTGTTTAAGTTGCTTCGTTCTATGTGATAATACTTTCTCTTTAATTCTATAAACAGACATAATTTCTTTTTCAGTTACAAAATTCTGCTGTTCAAGTCCTATAATTGCTGTGTCGAGAATACCGACTAATTTGTCAATCGAAATTATTTCGTTTTCAATAAACTCTGTGTCACTTTCTTCACTATCGGAAGCGAATTATAATGACGAGGAATTTCATTTAAATCATATCAAAGACGGAGTACGTTGAGATGAAATACTACATTTAGTAAGAAATTATAAGCCAAATAAAATAAAAACATCTGCCCTGAAGATAAGGATAGTGCTGACACATCAACTTCCAATTCATTGCACGCTGCGGCATCAATGCGACTCATGCGCAGAAAGTTTGTAGCTTTGAGGTCCGGATTATAGATCATTCCAGATTATGGGTGTCCGAATTAACGACTTTTGACTATATAAGAGAAATACCCCTGACTCATCACGAGATCTCCGAAACTATACACCTGATTGACTTGAAATTTTGCATAGTGACACATTCCACGATGTAGACATACACTAAGAATGGATTTTTATTATACAATAGAAGTTTCTCATATATTTGGTTTTCCAATCCAAGTTCAAAATTTTTGGTGCTACTTTGGCTCCTGCTAAGCAGGCACCAACAATAAGCATAAGCCCTTTCTTCAAATGGTGAAAGATCTGTTGTTTTTCCCATTTTGCACGGATTTTGACAATTTTTCTTTGGCGAGGGATACGACTTATGATAAACCCATTGCTGGACAAGTTATTTATGGTAGCCGATACTTTGTTGTCATTTTATTTAAAAAATAATGCATTTTATCATGCATAAATTCAGTGTTTTCAATATTATTAATGTCTTCTAACTATTAAAAATCAATTTCATTTTGCATTTTTATTTGAAATAAAAATTTTGTTGTTTATGATATTTTATATAATTTTATGTTGTGGAAGATGTAATCAATGATGTCACCTTACTTAAAAAAGTAATTGGTTTTATTAATATCTATATATTTAATCTAATGTTTTAAACATTATTTATGCCTGTTAAATATTAAAATACAATTTAATTTTGCATTTTTTAAATGATTTTAAAAGGAATGATTATTTAAATAATTTTAATTCTATGCGTGATGTAATCAGCTCCCTGATTGGTTATTAAATATTTGTGCATTACCGCACCATTTTAAAATTTTATTATTCATCTCTTCGAATTACTCAGATTTCAAAGTGAATGGATATGTCCGTTTCGAAGATAAATGTTGTTAAAAAAAAATTGTCCTTTGAGACCTTATTTTGGCCAACCTGGCTTTCCTAATCAAAGATTTATTTATAAATTGTTACAAGGGTCAGAGGAAATTTATTTTAAATTTTTGGAGGAAACCTCGCTAATTGCTTCTTCAATGAAATGCGAGAGATGTGGATCACAGATTGAAGATCGTTAGTAGAAGATTTTTTTTTTTTTTTTTTTTTTTTTTTTTTTTTTTTTTGTGGTACTTATCAATATACAACAGGTAAAATACTTTAAAAAAAAACATAAGTAGATATTTTTCTTTTACTTTATAATTGTATACTTCAATTTTATTAAAAAATTAATACACTGTTTTCAAAAATTGCTGAGATATTTATTGCCACATATGTTGTAATGTTAAATAATTATATCCTATAAAACTTATTTTAAAGTACTTCAATTTAAGTAATATTTCAATTCTTTTAAACGTTGGAATGATTTTTTAATTCGATATTCAATTTAAGTAATATTTTAATCCAATTAAATGTTGGCGCAATGTTTTTATAGCGGTGTTCTTATTCTATCATATGAGAGTAATAATTTAACCTTCCTTTAGCATTTTAAACTCTTAGTAATTGCATTTATTTACATTTGCCAGCCATCTTAAAAAAACAACGTTTTCAACAAAAAATTAATCAATTATTTTTAGTGATATTTTTTTAAGTTTCGAACACTTTACTATACGTAAAAACAGCACTTTTCAAGATGGCTGACAACTGTAAAAAACGCGCCAAGAATTGCACCAATGTAAATCGCCAAAGCTTCGTGCAACCGTCTACCAAAGTAGCACCAAATTTTCTTTTATTGTTGCTAAAACTATATATGAAATACAATGTTGCCAACGAATGTATTTTCCTTTAAAATTATTAAATTGGTAAATAACTTGCATCTATCTAATGAATACAAACATTTAAATGATTAGGTTAATATTAACATTTATATTTAATTGTTATCATAAATTTCATGAAAGTAAATGTTATTATTAAGAAAAATAAATTATTGTGATGAAAAATAAAAGTGTCGTTGTTATTTACAAAAATTGCCGTACATAAAAAATCAGGGACAAATAATTATAAAGGATTAAAAAATTTGATAACAAAGATAATAACATTTATTTTCATGAAACTTATGATAACAGTTAAATATATATAAACCATAGTTTTATGTTGGCAATTTTTCTTGGTGTAGGCCTACTGGAGATCCTGCCACATTAAATAATAGGAACGCATCCCAATACATAGTACCTCACGGGTGATGTTGAAATCTGCGTATGACAGATTCACTGATCGGCACTATATTTCTCGACTTTAAATTAAAAAAAAATTACATTAATTATCTATTCGATATTAGACATTTCGTCAATATAAAAAGTCTAGGTTCACATTCAAATAGATAGTGTGCCCAGCAAAGCAGGTGGGTTCAGCTAATACTTTATATATGTGCATTATTATCAGCAATTTCAGGTAACCACAGTAACTTATTAACTTAGACACACACTGGCCAATGAATTGGAAACCTTTGAGATTTTCATTTGAATGCATGCTAGGGATGAAGTATGCAAATTTATTTATGATGTGGGTTACACATGGTTAGAATGCTAGTATTATAAGGTATTTCTCCCGCCTCCTTAGCAAGCCTTCGTAGTATAGTGGTCAGCACACTCGACGCGTATTCGAGAGGTCTGTGGTTCAAGTCTTGGTGAGGGCATTGCTCATTTTTCATATCTCCTGCTTTCAAAAATACCTAATGTCTTTACAGTAAAAGTAAGCTGTAGTATAAGAGTACTCTGAGTATATGTCTCTATAGTATAAGAGTGTTTCACGATGAATGAAGCAAAATGGGAAAAACAACAGATCTTTCACCGTTTGAAAAAAGGGCTTATGCTCATTGTTGGTGCCTGTTTAGCAGGAGCCTCAATTTTGAAAACAGAAAATCTCACTGGGTTCTCAAAAGCAGCCATATTAAAGGTTTTTAAAAGTTGGAATCAGAACCCACAGTCTTTCTCTAGAAGACGTAACTGCAGTTAGAGCACAGTTTTCCAAGAGAGGGATTGGCGGCATCTCTGACAAATTGTATGGCAGAACAGGGACTCTACTCTGCTTCAAACTGACACAGATCGTCAACCAAGTCAATCTTCCTTCAGCGTGAACCATGAGCAAAGGGTAGGAATGCATAGTTGGGTGCCTGTTAGAAAACCACTCATTTCTGCCTGACATGCAAGTATTTGTTTGTAGTGGTGTTGGGAAAGAAAACATTGGACATCCGAGTATTGGAAGCAGGTAATGTGGTCAAAGGGATGCCGCTACACCTTATTTCGCACTGATAGAAGATGTTGAATCAGGCGAGAACACCATGAAGCCATGAAGCCATCTTGCCTTACTCGTACTGTGCAAGGATCTGGTGGGAGTATCATTATATGGGGCATGTTCTGCTGGCATGGAAGTTGTGCCCTGGTGTTCCTTGAGGGTTAAACAAACAGCCATGAGATACCTAAATATACTGGCAGATTAAGTGCACCCTGCAATGTGGCATTTTACCCTGATGGCGGCGGATACTTTATGGGAGATAATGCAACTATACATCGTGCCAGAAGTGTTCAAAATTGATTCACTGAACATCAGTCTGACTTCCAACACCTTTTCTGGCCACTGAATAGCCCAGATCTTAACCCCAAAGAAAATGTATGGGACATGGTGGAAAGAGTCATCCGACAGCACTCTCTTCCAACTAGTTTAGAAGATCTAAAAAGCTTCATAGCTCATGCATGGTATTCTCTGGATGTAAATGCACTTCAGAAGCATGTAGACTCGATACCCAAACAAATCAGAGAAGTTATCCATGAAAAAGGTGGTCCAATAAAATATTGATCTTGGGTTTCGAATTCATTGGCCAGTGTGTGTATGAAAGCACTACAATATATAATAAATAAATCTTCAATGGAAAGTAGTATTTCCAAAACAGTTGAACATCAATACAATAATTATTTTAATAAAATATTCAATATCAGGCAAAACAATATCATTATTTCTTTTAACTCACATTCTTAATAATACTGGTCTAGATTTCAAATAGAACTCATTCCCATTCCACAAGAAATAGAAACAGCTTACAACATAACCCATAGCAAACAGATTTATTCTGCTGGTTCCTGCTTGAAAAACAACTGCCAAAGATATCCAGTAGAATGCATAAAATATGAAAACTTTCAACATGTCAAGGCAGGTCCTGGAAAAAATCATTCAAATTTCAAAAATCATGACAAACAATAAAACATACAAATAACAGAACAAATAACAGATTTTCAAAAAAGAAAGATCAATCAAATAAACAGCATGAATCAGAATGAAAAATTCAAGATGTAAGCATGTTAGTAATTTCAGTGAAAATCATTTCTAAATTTTAAACTTTTATTACTGGCATTAAGTTCACTTACTTGGTACAAGTGACAAAATCAGGAATTGGATTGGGTTCAGGTACATCAAAATTTATTTCTTTATTATTACCACCCTCATATAATTCTGAAATTGGTGATGTTTCAATTTGAAACACAAATAACTGACAACATGCAAATAGTAGTTGGAAAAAGTCAGCTGAAAGAGAAAGCACTTTTGTGAGTACACATACCTCATCAATATTCAATTTCTAGATGTAACAAATAACTATAAAGTACAGCTGAACTATAGCAGCAGGCAAATAACTGCAGCTACTCACTCAAATAATAAGAGTTCTTTTTAAATGTTAAAAAAGCTCTTGAAAAGTTTTCAAACTCCTAATTCTGAATAAATAAATGAAATTTTAATGTAAAATTACATCATTTATATCAATGATTCTCAAACTTTTATGAATTGTTTCTCCTCTATTTGACTTTATTTTTGTAATGTCCCCATTTTTTTTTTGCACATATGTATGAATGCATTGACTGTATTTATATATAAGAAAACATACATTATTTTGTTAACGTAATTATTTAAAAAAATTACATTTTTTCCTCATATAAATAACATTCAGGTTAAATTAATTAACTATATTAAAAAGATAATTTTATTTAGCATAACTTTTTTTCAGAAAATTACAAACATATATCATAAATATCAAAATCTTTTATTTCTTTATATAATCAAAATTACATATATGCATATACTCAGAGAATAATAACAGTACGATAAAATGCAATATTTTTAGTATCACAGGAATAAAAAAAAATTAATATTCAAAAGATACAATAAAACAGCCAGGTGAAACATTGATAACTTATCATCTATTAGGATTAAAATTTGGGTACTCTCTTATTATTATGGCCATAATTATTTTAATGGTGCTAAGAGTATTCATAAATTACCAATGTATGCCTAAAATGTTGTAAAATATTATTTTATTTAATTAATTATATTTATTTATATATTTCATTATTTGCAAATATAATGCTGATTTTTGTTGTTTGACATCTAGAATAACTGTTGTTCAGTGTGTTATTTTAACCAGTTGTCAAATAGTTCCCAATCTCTAGCACCTTTGCAGAATAAAAAAATTAAGAATTTTGAGAAGGGGGGAACAGAAAATTTAATAAAAATACAACAATGACACATAGCCAATTCAGTGTTCTTTTCTAGACTGCAAATGATCTTCATTAGCAGTGCCTGTCATTTGGTGATGGTTATGATATACATTGATGCCTTATTGATAATCTTGGTCCTGTTTAAATAATGCAAGCCATAATAATAATAAGTATCATAATTTGTTAGTGGAAGTCATATTTCAACACAATTTAAAAACTTGGAAGTAACTTTATCAAAAGGTAAATAGTAGTAATACTAAGATGTCATTTTACTAAATATGATACACTGATATCATACTAAATATCATACTGTTGTGTGCATATGGGTTCATAATAAATTGAATGCACACAAGTCCAATGATAAGTTGATAAAATTTATTTTATCAAAAGAAAAACTTCAGAGTTCTGGAACTTTGTACAGAAATACTCATACAGGTGTCCGCAGCATCCCAGAGTATGATCAGTAATTACACTTCAAAACTACAAAGGACATTAAACACCACGAAAGCAAAGTACATCTAAAAGGCAAAGCTTTCAATATTCCGAAGTCGCTCTGAACTAACAATTCACAACAACTTACGGCAGATGCTCTCTCCGTCCTTACATAGTTTTTAACCAACCACTGAGATATTTCTAGTACTTTCTACTTCTTGAAATTACTTGAAGGAATATGAGGAACGAATACAGTTACACATGAAATCAATTACAATAACTTATTATAGCGACACAATGGCCGGACCAAATTGTCACCAAATGGTCGACAAGTTTGGTGACTTTTGGAGATTTCTAGCTAAATCTGGAGACAAAATTTAGTCACCCAAACCATTGCCAGCTTGGCGATGTCTCACCAAATGAACAAGATAGCCATTTACTCAATGTTAAATAGACAGTTAAATGTCACTGTAGTCTTACTTTTCCAAGAAGCTTCCCTTCTTTAGATTAAATGTCACTGTAGTCTTACTTTTCCGAGAAGCTTCCCTTCTTTAGATTTTCATGTTACGTTATACAAAAGGAATTTCAATAAAATTATCTATATATGTACAAAATTCATAACAATATTTGGAAATAAAGTAAATACATTATATAAAACCTTATTATACTATTAATATGCAGCTGATGCCAAAAGTACTGCCCCTTTCAAAATGATTTAGTTTCTCCTATGGCATTCAGATGCCTCCTTGGAGGTATTTGAATTACTCACTCTAAACACATTGCTTATACTCTAAAAACAAAAATTATCTAATCAGATCATTATTAACACATCCACTGCCAACATAGGTATGTAAAACTTCAACAGAAGGCATTTTTATTTTTTGTGAAAACAATACTTTAAAATACCATAAATGGCTATGCATTTTATAACTATTAATAATTAATTCTCAATTTTATAATTTATATTTATCATGTGCTGCAGAGTATAAACTTAATCCTCAAGTGCTGCATTACACACCGATATGTTGATGGGCATAGGTAGGGATCGAATATAGGAAGATAAGAAAATACAGAATACATTTATTTTTTCAAATTAGTTTTTAAAAACACACAAAATAGATACATATGAAACTGTGTTCATTATTTTTGCATAATCCAAACAGTAACCTGGTGGTCTTTCATAGATGGTGCATATGTAAATCATGTGTCTGCATCTGCCATTGAAATAGCAAATTTTAAAATGCTTTCTCATTATCTGACAACCTTTTGTTTGTCTTTGCACTTTTAAGAAAATGTTTATTTATGTATTCATGTACATGTTCTTAGGCAAGTAGATTATGATCTTTTTTTCAATAAACTTTCAATTATTGATGGATGAAACTGGTAATACAGAGGCATCTTATTTCCCCAAAATTTACTATTGTCATGTGAATTTATTACCGCTATTTACAATACATGTATAAACAGTTTATTGGGCCATTCAATGCTTTCCTATGGCATCAATAATAAGCCGGAGGTCATGTTAACCTAGTCCTGCCATGTAAGCAGAGGTAAGCAGTGGTGCAGGCAGCTCACATGACCTCTTTATTAAAACTGTAATAAATTTGCAAGCTCCTTGCTCCTTTTACTAGCTTAAAATAAGTAAATTAATTCTATGCTCAAAATAAAAAGAATTTTAGAGATTAATGTTTGAAAGCAACAATAATTTTCACAAATTACCAAAGAGAAATTAATTAACTTCCTTACAAAGTCTTTACAAGAGAGATTACTGCAGTAAAGTAATTATTAGATAAAAACTGAAAATTAAGAATAGTGCAATAATGAATTAAAAGCAGATTTTTATGTTTATCATTCAGAGACATAGGAGATGGAAGAATTAACATGCCACTAGACAGGAGGAAAAAATTAATGACTTTAGGGATTTTGTTAAAATGGCATTAGCAGGAAAACTATATAAGGAAATTCCTAACAGTTTAAGTCCTAAAAGTTCCTAGTCTAAAGAAAGCCCAAAATTCATTATGGAAATTATTGCTACTAATTATGCTAAGGCTGAATGGGCTTTTGGTTTCATGAACAGTATTTCTAAATGAAGATCCTCTTTAATCTACACCATATTTCAGATTTAATGACAATCTCTTTAAAAGAGAAACATTTAAAAAATGTAATCTTAAAACTTATGTAAACACATTTTTGAAAAACCATCTCAAGCCTTTAGAACCTTACAGAAAATCAACTGACATAAGGATATGGCAACTTCTGCCACAATGCACAGTTATTTGTATTACTAGCTTTATTGAAAGTAAAACGTTCAATTAGAATATGATATTCTATCTTTATAAACTAAAGTGCAAACCCTTTGTTAAATTTTTCATAGCTCACTATTGCATGTATGTACTTTATTACTTTGATGGTAGCAGTTTTAATTTTGTTTCCTTTCTTCTGTTTAAGTTTTGGCTACATCATTTTTTTATGTTCACTAGAAATATAGGTTATATGCTTTACACTCATCAGAGATGTCACTTTTATATCTTTTCATTTCCTAATCATTACATCATTGGCCCATTTGGCTACAGTTTTTAGCTTTGTTTTTACAACTTCTTTTCACAAAGTTTTGCTGTTGTACAGTACCAACATAGTTAGTTCTTCTTTCAGCAAAATACTTGGTACATTTAAATCTACTATAATAATTGTTCGTATGTACACTATGGTCATAATCTGAAATTCCATCTAAAAACTATATTACAAGTTTCTCAGTATGCCATTTTTCACCAGAAACACTCAACATACCTACATACACCAGACATTTAAAAATAATGTCAGTAGGTATCCTGATCACATACAGTTTTTTGCTCCGTTTATGTTATTTATTCAGTATACATAGCAGATATATAAGATATACCTGCCATAGATTAGTTTATGTTTAATCCAAGTCCTAGATAATATGTTTCAGGCATTCTTATATTTAACAGATTTATAATATTCCAAATTTTATACAATGAATCAGCTGAAGCTGTTTCAGTACTGTTTGCATTTTTTGCAAAGTGCAATGCTCAAAAGAATAACAAACAAGAATATCTTGAAACACGTATTTCCTTGAGAATACTCTCGATATACATAAAAAGCAATTAACAGGATTGTTCCAAAAACAGGTTTGAAGAAGCCATCAGATTTTGTAAAAGAAATGAACAGCATTGATGATGACTTGTCTTCCTGAATTACATTTCAAGTATAACATATTCTTGTTATGTTTAAATTTCTGCATTGTTACCTTCATGTATATAAATATCCAGATAATCAGAATAAACAGTGTGTGGAACATACTTTCTTTACAAGAGGAACTGAGGTTACTCATACACTCACCTGGTAAATTGTTTTCTAAATATTTTGTCAACTGTTTACCTGTAATGGTCTTCTGGCCGGACATTTTGCCCGTTTAAGAACAAGAAAGCCCTAGTAAATTGTCATTTAAGTAACTCACATTGTGGGAAATTAAAAATTTATATGAAAAATGTAAAATCAAAAAGTCAAATTTACTATATTTACTACCATGCCTGTACAACTACATACAGCTGAGACAATGCAACCTAAATGTAGAGCAAAATTCTACCTCACCACGCACTTGCATGTTGTAGACTATTAGATACTAGCACTACATCACTTGCCTGTGCACAACTGGAAGCAAATATGTTAAACTGTAACCAATGAAAGACCTTTACTTGCCAAACGTACCAACAATTTTTGTGGCATTTGGTGGACTCTGAAAGTCAGGAAGGAAAAGCCACTCTCTCAAACCTTCTACCAATGCTTCTGTCCATGGGTACTCTGAAAAGCATTAATATTAATTAAACCTGAGAAATAAACAAATGCTAAAAAAACACCTTAAAATTCCATAATATAAAAATTCAGAGTACTATGAATAAAAATAATTTTCAACTATTACACAGGTTTCAGTTTATTATTAAAGTACACTGCATGAGCTACTTAATTTCAGAAAAATTTCTGATTATGCCGGCTGATAACAGTACTTCTGATTAAGTAAATTTCTTCACTTTATTTCATTAAAAATATTCAATATAAAAACATATACATAAAACACTTAAATTAAGCATAAGTTATTATTATTATTATTTTACAAAGGCAAATGATAATGCAGTGTAACAATTGCTTGAGAGTTTTATTCTTCTATTTTACTATCAAATTCTCAATCATTGTCTAAATAATTAAAAACTGTCAAATGTAAAATTGAAATACTGTCAAATTAAAAAACATAAGACTATATGAATATTATTTACTGTTACTAAGAAGATAATCTGCATCAGATTTAAAGCATGTTTAATGAATAAAATTATGTAATTTATATGTAGCAGATTTCTAGCAGTAAACTTCAAATATATAAAACCAAACTCTGAATATTTTGAGTATTGCTGAGAATAAATGGATATTTCTTATTCAAAGTACCAAATACAGTACAAAGTCTGAAATCATAACCTTCAAATTACCAGAAGAAAAAGGAATTGCGAACACATACCCCTCCCCCCTTAAAAAAGGGATGTGCTGTAAAGGTAATTTTTCACCTGACCAATTAAGATTACCATATATTAGGTTCAGACACCTGTTGGCTAGAAAATCACACTATGCCTAAATACAAAACTGAGTAATGTTAGCCACGACTATGTTTTCAGCCTTTGAATGATTTTAGAAATGGAGGTTAATTTTTTATCTTATCAAATCAAAAACAAAGCCCAAGACATATTTGTTTAGAGTGGGATGTTGCTTATATTACGTTTTCTTTTTTTGGCATAGCAGCAGGGAAGAGAGAAAGAATTAGATTCCAAAGAACTTAACTACAGTTAACATAACAAGTTAGGCTCCTTTTAAAGTTTTTAATTTGATCCAACTCATTTTTTGCTGTTTATTTTTACTACAGCTATTTAATCAAAATTAAAGTTTGAATTTCCACTTATGTCGAAAACAGTTTCTAATTTTCAAATTGTAGCAGGATCTGCAAAGTGAAAACATATTTGGCACTTGCCTTTTATAGTGGCCTTGGTAAAAGAAAATGGAAATTTCACAATTTGGGCTTAAGCGCAAACAAATTTGCACCATAACCTTATTTTGTCATAAATATACTTTTGAACTTTTTTTTAAAAAAATACTTTTTTTTAATCAAAGTAATATACTTTTGAACACTACAGAAGAAATTCTCTAAGTAATGGAATTTTAGAAGAAATGTGGAGAAATGATAGTAAATGAAGATGATATAATAGAAGCTTCCCACTGCAGTGATAAACCCCAATCAACAAATCAATGGCAACATTTGTAGCATGGATTTAAATCCAGAAGATATCACTACTGCTTGTAAAGAAAGTGACAAAGAAGTTGTTGAGAATTAAAGATTTCAGTTGACACGTTAAAGGGAATTCTTGACGCAGCAATTACAGGACTTGAAATGAACAAGAAATAGTGTCTACCTGTAAAATTAAAAAGAAAGTACTAGCACAAAAAAGAAAGAAAAAAAAAACCTTAAAAAGCTTACATTGAAAGAAATGTTTAATAAATCAAATAAATATTGAGCACTTTTTTTTAATTTTGATTACTTTCAAAATCATAAATGTTTTATTACTTCATAAACAATTATTTCATATTTTAAATTTTATAATTTATACATGTCATCTTACTAGATTTAAAATGATGATCTAATATCCAGAATTTTTCAAAATCCGGAATAATTGAAGTCTCGATTATCCAGATATTGTACTTTGTACTATATACATTTTACTTCTATAAAGCCATTCTATTATTTGTAATTACAAATCTTTCAGATTTTAAAAATGTGATATTGGGTAAATACAATACATTGTTTTTATCCAGACATTTCTATTGCTACAAAAATTTTAAACTGATAATCATGAAAAGGAAACACTTTAATGGAATATTTGAAAAAATATAAACATATCACAAATAAATTATTTGGTCTAACTAATGCAAACTTCCACATAACTAAATCAAATCTTTTAATTATCTGTTTTACCAAGATAAGAAATTATTTTCACATAATGAGGAAGTTAATATTTAATGTGATTTTAGTGCCAAAGTAATATACTTTGGTTAATTCATAAAAAATTATCCTTTGTTATCAGGAACTATTATAAATGCATTACAATTTTTTTATTTTCCAAAATCCCCATAATTTTGTCATACAAAAATACAATCGCAATGTCTTTTTTGTGATGCTATTTTACACATGTTTTAGATCACTTCTTTTGACTTTTGTAGCAGAACTTTCTTCCAAATTTACAAATCTCACTCAATTACACCACTTTCATTCTCATAATCATGAATTAGTATAACTAGATCAGTATGTTCTTTATCAGGTACAATACTTACATTTTATGCTCTAATCCTTAATATTTCTTACTTGATACTTTTATGAGAATACTGAATGAAAAAATTATGAACTGTTTTTTTTTTCACTTTAGTCTGCATTAAAAAATATTCCTACTTATTTTACTGATTTTTTTATATTTTTTATTTTACTTATTTAATTATTTAAAAAGCTTGAAATTACTTCTGAATTTCCTTTTCTCAAGCTAACATTACTTCCTTAAATACGTTTATTTAGGTGCAGTTACACACATATAATAAATAAAGATATGAGTGCTCATATGCCCTATTTTTGATAAACTGCAGTAAGAAAACACTTAATACAAAAAGAAATTTCAAGTTTACTCCCAAATGAGCTTTACAGAGATGCACTTTTCATTAAAAGAATAAGAGCATACACAAGCAGAAATAAAATAAATAATACTATATCTATCACATATGTTTAATATTATTTTTTTTTTCAATATTTCTGCTTTCAAAAAGTTCATTTCCTCAAAAACTACAATAGCTACCTACACTGCCTTCTTTTGTATAAATAATTTTGCAATTTACATGAATTTTAATTGTATTTAAAACTAGCAAAAATAAATGCAAATATTATTAGAAGAGTATGAAGGCAATGCCCAGAGGTATTATTCTTTTTTTCATTATATATGTTATTGACATGGGTCAAATTTTAAATCACTTGTTATTTTGCAGGCTGACCCAACAAATAATCTGTAAATGTAATTATAGTTTTGAAACAAAAGAAAAAGAAATGTTCTAAAGAAACTCACTTCCCTTTACCATCATATATTCCCTATATTTAAAGTACATGCATATTTAAATGTACAGATTGCTTTAAATATTTTTATCAGGAATTTTGTAAATCATAAAACGTTTTAGAATATCTGTTTACTGTTGTTTCATATATATGATACCAGCACATTTTCAGTTATTAGGCATTAAAAATATTATAAACTGAGACAAAAATATTACAAATTACAAAAGCTTCAAAAACAATACTTGAAGTTAATCCATATTTAAATACTTATAAAATCATACACAAAATTTCCCTCATAATAAAAATTTGACAAAAATTTACCCATGCAAAGTCCAGGAGGTAAGCCTAAGCAAATCAAATATTGGATGGTGAGAACAATGCACTGGTAAGAAACATAAAATGGCCACACTTTAGCCAAAGTTTTCCTCTTCAGTAAGAACATGGAAGATAACCACACTGCAGATAAGAAAGCAAAAACGTCTAGTCTAACTCCAATGCAGGCAACAATGGTGACAAAACAAAACTGAAAATGGAAATAAAACTGAATTATTATAAAACTTCACAAAAATTTAATGCTCAATTTTAATATTAATTTTATTAAGAAATTTAATTCTCTTGATGTTTTTAAACTATCATTCATATATATAGATGACATTATAGCAATTAATAACTTTAATGAAACAGCAAAATAACAGATTTATATTAATTGCTTTAAGCTTAATAAAGCCATTGACAAAGACATAGAAATAAACTATTTAATCATTATATTAATTAGCTTAATTAGTAATATACTGTTTAATCATTAATATCAAACCTAACAAAGTTCAAACTAGAATAGACATTTTTGATTTTGAAACTATCAAGCTATTACTTGGCACTCCAGTATTTCCAAGAAAATAATTACCAATATAATCATTAATTAAACAGTTAAGATCAGAAAGATTTATATACACTAACAAAAAATTCTCAAAGAACTAATATTATTAGTTAACACCCTAAAAAATAATACCATTCTTTACAAATTTATTTATAAAATTTACACCTTGGCAGCAGACGTCAATTTATTTACCTTTAAATTATAAATGCTAATATACCTGACAGCTTACACTTAAACACTAACCAAAGTTGTAAATTGGATATTTTATCACAGTTGATTTAAACCTAATTATTTAAAAAATAATTTAACAGTAAAATTTTTCAGTTGTTTAAGTTTTTCTAAACTGTTTTTTTAGGTTTTTAGATAGGCCTTTAAAATAAATTCTGTTCCCTGGAAAAATATTTTCTTATTTTCATTTCTTTATCATTTTTCCTGAATTTTGTTAATTACACCCTGATTAGTATAGTGGTTAGCACAGCCACATCACTAGGCCCAGCCTCAAATCCCAAAGAAGGTTTGGATTTTCCAAATATATAGTGTCAGCCCATTTACAGTTAAAATAGTGGTAAGCAAAAAGTCCTATCAAGAAATTTGATTGTAAGGGATGATGGCTTGGATACCATTGGATTCGTTCCTTGGAGTACATTCAAAACTGAGATGGAACTTCCCCATTCTTATTGGATGTAAAATCAGACATACTCAGTGACATACCTAGGAAAACATTCTCGGCGATAAGATGGCTAAATGACAAATGGGTACTGGTTATTCCTAATGAATGCATTATGATGCTAGTGTCTGGCCATTTGAAATAACAACATATTTGATTAACTGTAAAATATAGCAGCATAACTTTGCTTGCTGAAGAGCACAAAAGTATAACTCCTTTTAATCTCAGAAACATTAAATTTTAAGCAGCATTTGTTTAAGGTCAGATATCACTGCATACATGATTAACTTCCCCTTATTTTATTATGTTTATTATGACTTACATGACAGAATTATACACATTTTAAATAACTTTGGTTATAATTATTCTGCAGTATTATTTTAACAAATTATTTTGTTCATTAAATAATATGTATAATGTGTTGTGCGATATATAATTATTTTGTTGTGTAAAATAAAAATAGTCAAGTTAATTATATTTTCTTATACGCTTCCATAATCTTTCCTAAAAGATAGCACCACATAGGCATTTCAAGAGATCCTATTTGCCCACTTTGTGATTCTGGAGAAGAAATGGACAGAGACCACCTGCTCCAATGTGAGGCTCTTCGAGGTCTTAGAGAAGAATCGAGATACTGGGAGGCAAGAATGCTCTTTAGGCAATGACTTTGTTGTTTTGTTTTTTGTTCTTAGTTCTATTGTTTGTAACCTCTGTTTATAAGATTTTAGCTCTTTGTAATTTTTTCCTAGGCATTAAAAATTTAAAACATATATATATATATATATATATATATATATATAAGAACTGAAAATTCATAGCAGTTTCGGGATGGGCTAATTTAATTAAAAATTTAACTTCAGTTAATTAACCTAATACTCCTGATGACACCAATCCCTAATAATATGTTAAAAGAAATGCAAAATTTTGTTTTGGTTAATGAATGTGCATTACTTGGTTTCTTGGTTTTACTTCTATTCTTACCCTGTAATATGAATTATTACTTAGCAGTTAGTTATTTTTAACTTGGCAGCATTCATTTTTTGCTAGTTTCAGAAACAATATGAACTTATTTAATGAATTTTTACAAAACTTCATTTGTTATTCCTGTTATTTAGTTCCAAGTTTTATACAAAATTGTCAGTTATTAATTTAAAAGTTTATATGTATGAAGACTATTACTAAGCATAAACCATTCAATTATTCCAGGAAAACAGAAACAAATTTAATATAACAAGCTCAAGCCAAGCTAAAAGAATAAATTATTATTCTTCAACAGAAACTTTAGTTACAGAATAACAGTTTCAAACTCTTATCCCAAATTGCCTTATAAACCTGGACTTCCTGATTGGGGTTTACAAGAAAACATTAATTTGTTAAAGAAGAAATCTCTTACAAAGCCTAAATTATAAAGTCTGGCAGTTGTTATTCTACTCCAAAATATGGATAACATTTTCAACAACTATCATTAAAATGTGATGCTGAATGTGTGTCTGAAATGAACATGAAATCTGTCTTCTTATCGACAAGTGCAATGTCTACATTATCCATGTAACATTAAAATATACAAAAGTATTTTTTTGGGGTGATGCCTTTTTTTTTTTTTTTTTTTTTTTTTTTTTTTTTGCCTACCTCATTAATTCCTAATAATGATCATGGCATCATTTCGTCAATGAAAATGTATTATTTTCTGGAATAAAAAAAAAAATTTATTGAAAACAGCACATATAAGACAGAGAAGCTAAGGACAAATGCACTTACAAAATCATCATGTAAGAAACAGTCATAGCAGGAGCTACCTAAACTATTTTGAATAAGTCAAAATCCCCTTCACAATATGAATATGGGTTATTTTTCTCCTTTAACCCTTTAAGCGTGCTTGGCGAACTCACCTCGTCATCGTCCCCACTGCAGTGCACGTGCAGGAGCAAACGCTACACGCTTAAAGGGTTAATGCCAAATAAAGAAAATACGTGTGGTGGTGGGGGGGGAAAAACTAAGCTAGGATGAAATATTATACAACACAAGAATTTTTTAACAATGACACTTTACATTTATGTCTGAAATAATAATGATGTCTAGGAAACCCTTGAATTCATCCCTTTAGGTCCACTTCTTCTAACTTGGGATGGAGCTTTTCTTCTCCTTTCAATTATCCCCCATGGTACACCTTGGGCAATGTTTCTGTGATGAAATGGCTAAATGATTGATAGGTTTTAGTCATTCACACCAAATTTGTGAAGTTGCAAGAGTCCAGCCGTTTGGAATTATTTGAAAGGAGAAACAACATAGAATGAAGTTGAAAAGCACGCAAATGTAAAAGGCTTAAAAATAAACTAAAAAATTAGCTTTAAAAAATGCAAAGACATCTCCAGTGTAAGTTGGTTGAATGTAACTATCACATAGCTTTTTAAATTTATCACCAAGAATATCATTATCATAACTTTTAAGATAATCAATGTGTTCATATTATGCAATGATTAGGCTAGACATGCTTCTAGTACATTTTTTACATAAATACATAACCATGATATCAAGATACCATTACCTCTAATCCAAATTTGTAGAAAAAGTAATTAGCTAAGTATTTAAGACACTCCAACAAATTATCATCTGCAGTGGCCCTGGTGGCATTTGTAAATATAACACCGGTCTTGGGTTCTGGTTCATTCAAATGGATACGATTAACTTCTTGTCTTATTTTCACAACAGCTTGGACGGTTAAAACAAGTATTAAAGCAATGTAACCCTAAATTAATATACAGAGAATCATTTAAAAACAAATGTAAATAGTGTAATATATTTATGATTATGAAAATATTAAAATCTGCAAAAATACAGCTTTTTTTCAAATTCATGAGCAGTATCATTTGTTTTATTAGAAATTTATAATAATCAAGAGACTAATAAAACATGTTTTGGTAACATATCAACAATGCAAAGAAATATTTTATACAGGAACAAAGCAGTTTTTTAGCAGAATGCCTGAAGTTAACATTTAACAAATCAAATAAAAAATTAAATAAAATAAAAATGAAAGTGGTAGGTGCATCTGGTTTTGATTCAGAGTAGATGATCTTTTAAATCTGCAACAAATGTCTAATAAATGTTTGGTTTACACACATTTAAAATATTTTTACTAATCTACAGCAAAATCTACACAGCTGGCCATGAATTTGCAAAAATACGAAGATGGCATAAACATCTGAAACATCAAATTTGTCTGAAACATGAAATTTGCATGAAAGGTACTACATGCTGGAATATGCAAATGACTAGCATTTCAGTGCATGTGTAAAAAGCAGGTAGGTATGAATAATACCATAAATGGGAAGATTACAAAGTGGGCTTCTCAGTGTAAGTCTGGATCCCCCAACTGTCAGGCTAATATAGAATCAATGGGTCCAGGAGGGCCATACTGAATACCCCGTATGATTTCAGCAAACCCTGGCCACTAATGACAAGGAGACAGACATGCTGTTCTCTCAGCCTTATGTAATCATACAGCCACTTCATATACCGAGTCAGGAACCTGGCTCATGTGCAGGTCCAAAAATGTCCTCATAAACAGTATGTCTGCAATACCAGAGACTGTTAAGCACAGTGACCATTTTGCAGCTTCTCACAACACAGCAGCAAAGACAGGCACACCTATAGTGGTGCGTCAATAGCACCATAGGTATATATAGCAACTTTGGACACAGGAATGGCATCATGCCATTTTTCAAATAGCTTCTCATTCTACTTACAACATCATTATGAACACATCTGAGTGCGGAGGCACCGAGGAAAATGAATGTTGCTAGCTAGCCTTCATCAATATCATAGAGGCTCAGCACCTGCCATGCTGGTATCGGGTGCCACTGGGTACACATCCTGGTCACTTCTTGTTTGGCCAGTCAGTAATGTGGACAGCCACTGTTACACATCTGTTGTACTAAGGTCAGTGGCTGCACCCTATTTTTGAGGCCTGCACATCAGATAATGCATGAGTGCATGTTGCCTATGCATTCCTGACCTTCCTCGATACGGAAGATGTTAGACTGTTGTCTTGGCCAGTACATTCTCCAGATCTTTAAGCCACTGAGAACATCTGATCATGGGTTGCTGGGAGATTGACATGCCGCTCATCAGGTACTACAACTGACAAAGTCTGACACAGAATTGAAGCTGCATACCCATAGCTGTTATCTTGACTCAGTTGGATTCAATGTCCAGCAGAATTACATCCATTATTACTGCCAGAGATGACAGCTCTGTGGCTCAATTTTGAAAGCTGTGTACGCCAAACCACCTGCAAATTTAATCATATCTTCCCATATTATACTGTATATAAGATTCTGCTATATCCTTTCTTTCCCTGTGTAGCAATTTTAATGGGCAGCAGTGCATAAATTGCTCATAATGGTGTTTATCAGGCATTCTATAAAGTAAAAATAAAATCATTTCCTTTTTCTTTTTTGGGAGAGGGGCAGGAGAAGCAAGTTTAACATTTATTTTAAGAAATGAACATATGATCTTTAATTAAGAAAACATTATTTTATTTTCCTATTTCTAGTGTTTCATGATGTGTGCAAGCAAAAACTTTAAAATTAACTTTTAATAAAATAAAAAATTCAGTACACAGTATATAATTTCTACAGACACTTTACATAATTCTACATTGTAATTTTCAAAACTATTTACAGATAGGTTTTTGCTAATTAAAATAATATCAGTACCTTTTCTAAATACATTACAAAAAAGGATCAATATAAATAGGGTCTTCTATACATTTTATGATACTCATACAGATACATTTTAACCCACCTTACAGTAATCAGCCAAATAATGAGTCCTCTTGAATCCTATCCAGTCATGGTTATCAATTGTGGTATTAAAAGGATATGGCAAATTTGATGAATTTGTAAAAGCCACATTCTATAAAAAAAAGTTCACAAGAAATATGTTAAAAATAAACATGTAATATTATTAAGAGCAGCTCTATAGAAAAAGATTAAATATTACAGCAAAATATTTAATTAAGAATACAGTTCAATAGCAAAATTCTTTTTTTATCACTCGTAGAACAAGAAATATAGTACACATCAACCAATATATTTCTCACATCACCACATTAAACAAATAGTATGAGAATCTTTTGCTTTAACTAATTACTTAAGAATAATATTAAACAAAGCAAACTAGTTTAACAAATGCGAACTATAATTATAAAAAAAAAAATTTTTTTCCCCTTTTTAAGTACGTGAATGTATTAAAAAGACCAAATACAGTCAAAAGTCGTTAATCCGGACTCGTCGGGACTTCGGCGATTCCGGATTATCAATTTTTCCGGATTATAGATCATCAGTTTAAATCTGGTAAGATGGCATGCAGAAATTACAAAATTAAAAATATGAAACCATAATTTATGAAATAAAGAACAATTATGATCTAAAGGGTATCAAAATTTACAAAAAGAAAAAGCTTAATATTTATTTGTTTACTTTATTAAACATGTCTTTCAATGTAAGTTGCTTCGTTTCATGTGATAATACTTCCTCTTTAATTCTATTAAACAGACATAATTTCTTGTTTAGTTACAAAGTTCCGCTGTTCAAGTCCTATAATTGCTGTGTTGAGAATACCGACTAATTTGTCAATCGAAATGTTTTCGTTTTCAATAACCTCTGGGTCATTTTCTTCACTATCCGAAGCGAATTATAATGACAAGGAACTTGATTTAAATCATATCAAAGACGGAGTACATCGAGATGAAATACTACACTTAGTAAGGAATTATAAGCCAAATAAAATAAAAACATCTGCCCTGAAGATAAGGATAGTGCTGACAGATCAACTTCCAATCCGCAGCGTGAAATTGATAAACAGATTTCGGATTTCAAAACATACTTTCGCTTTGTAGATACAAATTACATATTAGTAAATATATATCGGAAATTCTATTTGACATAATCGAAAGTTCAAGCTTACTTTTATGAAATTGCTCTAACAGTCTGCAAAAAATAATAAGCCAGATCCAATTCGAAGATTAAGGAACAACGCAATCTGCAACATTAACTGAATTAGATAATTTTAGCTTACCTCCGTTACACATTATACGCGCATGCGCACAAACATATTCGCAGCCGTAAAGGTCTTGCACGCACTCGTAAACGCACTGCATGCGCAGAAAGTTTGTAGCTTTGAGGTCCGGATTATAGATCATTCCGGATTATGGGTGTCCGAATTAACGACTTTTGACTGTAATAAATAGTTTGATTTAACAATTTTCCTTTCAAAATTTGTTCAAAATGTATGTTATTTAAAACATTGCAGTGAATATAATGTTTTCAAATATTCTGAACATTATTTTTGACCAAATAAATGCTTACAACTTTCATCATTATAATGAAGCTTGAATATACAACAACTTACATGAAAGTTCTGGATAAAAATATCACAATAAAATTTGTTGAAAAAGCATAAAGTAATTTTATCCTTAATTTTTAATTTTGTGTTATATAGATACAAAGCCCCTTTTCTGCAATTTAAAAAATATTTTAATTTTATATACATTAAACTCCTGATTATACCTGATATAAGAATTTATGAGAAACATGTTAACTGATGGATGACACATGGGTAATTGAAAACATGGATAGTATAAAAAGACCTTAAGTGTCATAAAATTTTAACTTTTGAGAAATTTTGAAGGAACAAAATTCTGTTTGATTCATGCTTCAAGTGAGGATGACAAGATTATTACATCATCCACATACGGCAAAACAATACCATCATCAATTAAAGGTTGAAAAATGGTGTAAAAAAAAAAAAGTTCTATATCTCCCGTTCTCCAGGGCATTCAAATTCAAATTGCATTCTTCATGTCTCGAAAGCATGACATAGGATATATATTAGATTTATATATAGCTCTATTCTAACATAGCTATTTTGGCACAAATTCTGACTTTTTCTGAAATAACATGCCTATTTTTTTTCCATATTTTGATTCTACGACTCAAATTATGCCTAAATATGAAATTTTGTAAAATTTGATGTGAAATTTACAGAGAAATTCACAAATTTATGTTGGCACTTTTTTTCAGTTTGTCCCAAGAATAGTTCACTTGACGAACTTCTTAATATATCGCCACCTATTTTCCTTTCCCATGAGCGAAAAAAAAATTACAATCATTCCTTTTTTCAAATAATATTTTTAATTATAATTGTTAATATTTTAAGTATTTTTTTTTTTTTTTTTTTTTTTTTTTTCTTTTTCGAATTTCATTTAATTGTTTAAGTTGCATGGATTCTTTCGAATAACCTTTTAAAAATTTCTATTTACCAATTCGAACTGCATAGTTTAAATAAAAGGTGCATCATTTATTTTTTTTCAAATAGTTTTCTTTATAATTTTTTTGTCATAGTTATTATTTTACATAATTTTTTAATTTTTAGTCTTTTATTTTAATTGTTTGTGTCGCATTGTCTCTTCAGATAATTGTTTTAAAATTTTCTATTTATTCATTTGAACTGAGCATTTTAAATATATTTATTATAAATTTTACAGAAATGATTATATTTATTTGAATTGTGGTTCTTTCGGAAGAATACTTTGTGTCCCAGACTATGACGAATCTGAAAACTGAATATATTAAAAGAGAAAATACCATAAAGCATAGTTAACAAGTCTTTCAATGTTCTGTTCAGAAAAGATACGTAAATAAGAAAGATGTATAACCAATATTTTAATTTAGGATGACTTGCAAATATTGCTTAAATAGCTTTAACATTGTGCTCATTGCTTTACACAATTTTATCAGCCTACATTTAGTTTCTTAAAATGTTATTCATATTTTAGACATATTTTATTTTTGGAGTCGCAAGAATAAAATATCATAAGATTAAAAAGATTTAAATTTTAAAAAAATACTAAATTTTATGCAAACATTTGTTTTTTCTTCTTAATGGCTTACTCTTTTTCTTCAGGCATTCTGCATGTATATTAAAAAGCATCCAACTTTTCGAAACATCTTGATATTTCTGACATTCATTTTAACCCCTTAACTGCCGCGGAAAACATACAAGATTCATTTCTCATTGCCACGGTTTTTCACACAGGCGTGCATAGTTATGTGGTGTATTAGGGGAGAAATAAGTGCAAGTTTTACTTTCTAAAATCTGTTTACTTTCATAAAATAAAGAATAAAAGAAAAAAAAATGAATGCACAAAATTTAATGTTTTGAGTAAAAGTATAATAAAAAGATGTAAGTATAATAAAAATGATGTTTTTATAATAAAAAAATCCCTAAAATGGAGTTTCGATCAATTCATTTTCAGACAAGTAAAGTGTAATATCAGATTTCAGTGTTATACCTTTTAAAATCAGTATGCCTAAAAAAACATATATTTCTTCTGAACTGGTTGAATGCCACGATTTTATTTTTGATTTTTTGTTTGCAAGGTGTTGGTTCATATACTCACCTACAAAACGGTTTGAAAGCTGGGACATCACCCAAACTGTCAATGTCCTGTTTGCTTAAAAACATTGTGAAAATAAAAATCAAACAAACTTTCTCAGTTTTAGACAATTCAATTTAAATACAGTCAAAGTAAAGTAGCAGACGATAACACAGCAAAGGTAAAAATTTATTTGTACAAATATTTAAAAAAAAGGAAGAAAGAAATTTAAAAAAGTTAAAAATTTGAATAATATCATCTATAATTTTAAAAAACAGCTTTTCATATTGTATTAATAAATATTTATTACGCATCACTGAAGGGAAAAAAATTCATTTAATTAATTCTCTGTAAAACTTAATTTGAAATTTACGGTTAAAAATAGGGGTGGCAATTTACTGTAACAAAAATCCATAAACCACATTTGGCATTATCATCGCTCAGAAAGAGATGCCAAATTTCAATATGCAAAAATATGTAAATTCGTGTATATCTTAGAGAATTTTGGATAAAATTTTTTTTGCAGGTATGCTTAGAACTACACCTACTTTAAGATGATGGTAAAAATTTTATAAGTTATAATACAAAATTTTTTTCAAAAAATTTATAGATATTATTTAAAAATAGAAATTTAAAAATAAAAAACAAAAAATGGCTGAATTCTATTAGGGAATGAACCTAAATTTCGTAATGTGGAAGGAAGAATAATAAAAAAAAAAAAAAATATTAATAAATATATGCCAAATTCAATTGACATTGAGGAGCTAAAATTTTGACAGCTAAGTTTTTAAAAACTACTCAAACAATTTTTACAAAACCTGGCAGTCTGGCATAACTTGAGTTGTGGAATCAAAATATGTAAAAAAACTGGTATGTTATTTCAGAAAAAGTATGATTTTGTGTCAAAATACCTATGTTAGAATAGTGCTATATATAAATCTAATATATATCCTAAGTTGCACGTGCCCACCAGTGGCCGAGCAGTAAAATCGCTGAACACTGGTAGTTTGGTCCGAGGTTCAAATCCTGTGAATGGGCTGGCTGCATAGGTGTTTTCGTGGTTTCCCCATGTGTAATGTGTATACGGGCCAGTTTCCCTTAGAAAGTCCTCCATGAAGGCATCCCTCCCCTTAGGCAGATAGCACACGAGGCTTTCCCGTAATTAAATAACCTAACCTAAGCTAAGTCGCAAGCTTTCGAGACATGAAAAATGCAATTTGAATTTTGTCAATCGGCCCAGTAGAACAAGAGATATAGAACTGTCCCCTCCCCCTTTTTTTTTTTGCACAGTGTGCCTCTGAAATATAACCAAAGAACTGCATAGTCAAAAAGGAAACCTTGAGAAATTGATATTGTCCTTCGTAAATTCCCCTTTAAATTTAAATTAATAAAATCATGGCATATTTTTATAAAAAATCTGCTGCATTAACTTTAAGTCACCTTTACATTCTTTCATATTATATGGAAAATAATGCTCGAGGTATATCATCATTAAATTCTAACTTAGTTTACTGACTTCTCAATTTGTTTTCAATCTTAATTTCTTAATTTTGTTTTTACAGCATTTCAATATATATATTATTTTTTAAATACAGTAAACATCCTTTTCCTCCAATGAGTAATTTAAACCAGTAGAGTGAAAATTTAATGAATAACTTACATAAGGATACTAGATTAAAAAGTATGATCAGATCTGTGGAAATTCATATGTATAGAATTAAAATTATACAGATAAAACATTTATGGAACTTAAAAATTCTTAATATTCATAATCTAACAACTTCCCTATCGAATAAAGGCAAGCTAGTGGATTTGGAGTCTAACAAATTCTCTACATATTCCATTTTATGTTCACTCATTCACCTCTACCCTCATTTTCTTCTACTAGCTCTTTTCACATCTTACATCTAGAAAGCTTCATTTGTAAAATCCTATGCACTCCATGATATTTTTTTCAGTCATTATTCCATGTTTCTTAAGTTTTAAAATCCTGACCACCAGAAATGATCTCAGTGACATCTGAGGCTGCTATTTCTCCTTCGCCAGAAATTTTGTCTGTTTTTTAGGAGAGCACAATTTTTTCCAAATAAATATTAACTTTCCTTAACTATGATAAGCTATGAAATTCACATATAAAAAATTCAGAGATTCTTCAGAATTAAAAAAATATATTCCTTATATGTTCCAGAAAATGTTCTTGAGACTACGCACAGAAAATTCAAACTGTGAATATTCCATACATAAATTATCAAAAGTTCAGGTTATTAACATCCTTTAAACAAGAATACAAAGAAAAGGCAGGTGACACCATTAGATACTCACCGTGCAATTTATCTGCCAGTTTAAATAGTCCACAATATTCAGCTGATATATCATCTTTGATAATAAAAGAACTGCTGCCCAGACAGAGCAACAATGACAGAAGAAACTCTGCAGAGATTTGATAGGCAATGAAATGACGACAAATACCACAAAAGCAAAATGAATTGCGCAAACCTAAAAATAAATATTGCATTACTCTTTTAACAATTATTAAAAGTAAAGCATATAACTGTAGGTATTACACAAACTTCTTTAATGCATGAACTTCTTTAATTTCTGTTCCTTTCCCATTTATGAATATCATTAAAAATTATTCAGTAAATTTGTTTCAATAAATATTTGACTTCATAGTTAGACTAAAAGAAAATTGCAGGCTGATCTTGGTATGTAGATTTTTAGTTTCTATGATACAATTTTAAGATTGGCAATTATGATAGACCTACTAGCATATGAATTTGTACTTCAAAAATTAAAGATACAGGACATAAAATCTTATAACTAAAATAGCTCATTTTAACCATAGGATTTTTTGTTTAAATTGTAAAAATGAAACAGCAAACCCAAATTCTTGAAGGGGGGAAAATGCTAAAATATTACTTTATTTTAAATTAATTCTGGGTAATGAGCTGTGCACTCATTTAATATAGAAGAGATTTAATTACCCAAGATGTAACTAGGCATTTATTTCACTGGATCATTTAAGCACAAGGCTTGACACAAATATTTTCTTCAACTGGCAACATTCGATTTTGCCAGGTCATGATATCTAGAAACTAAAAACAATAAATACTTCAAAGAATTTCATATGAGGTGCTTAAAACAGAAGACAGCCATATTGTTGCTACTGCTTTTTTAACAAAAACTGAAGTAATTGGCTCACCTGGTTCCTAGTAAATTGTAGTTGCTATATGTATGATACAGATAAGAATGGAATGTGATAACACATGGCTCATTATACCTAATATTAAATCTAAAGATTCAAGTACAGTTGAATTTGAATAGAATGAATCATCCAAGAATGATGATAGCATTCATTCATTATTAATCATTCATTAAATCATGTAAAAAAACAGACATAAACATGGAATGAAACCAAAAAAATTACAAGCTTACCATCATACAAAATGTATAAAAACTGACATTTTAAATACTCATTTTATTCAGTAAATGATTATGTAAAAAGGAAATCCATCTTAAAGTGCTTAGTGAGATCTAAAATTTGAACTAATTTTACAAAGCTTGAAAAATATCAATCACCTTCTTCTGAAAGCTAAATACCATATTTACATAGTATATTATATAAATATTATCCCTTAAAAGCTATAATACATTTGACTTTAATGAAAATAAATAAACAATAAAAATAAAACTTATAATAAAAGTATCCAAAGAGGTAAACTTAATTTTTTTAACATATTAATATGGTTTGATGTTATTTCATTCTGTGAATCTTGGGCATCAGACTAGTAAACACTGGCTCAAACTTCAAGGAAAGTGTTCAATAATATTTTTCTAAATGGAAAAGATGGGAAATTTTTAACAGTTTGCTAAAACTAAAAAAAAAATTCAAAAAATATTTTTGGCTTTAAAAATTTTTGGATAAAACCAAAACAATTCTCTGGAAAGAGAAATTTATCAAGCTCAAACTTGACTGCAACTGAAATCAGAAACACATCAAGAATATAATATCAATATATGTAATATATGTTCTTATTATTGGAAACTTTTGCAACTGCTTGGCATAACAATTAACCTAAAATAATCAATAAATTATTGAGTATATTACATAAAAAATATAAATTTTAACTAAGTATAATTTAATTTAAAAAATTAAATTTTAATGAGAAAGAAAATATATAATCTTAAAAAAATTTCCCATTCACACTTACATCATATGCAGCTAAGCAAAATGTAGAGAGAAGCACAATTTTTACAATATGAATTTCTAGAACACGCCATAAAATTTCCGATATGTAAGTGAATACAACCTGGACTTCATGAAATATATTATTCAAACAAACTTTCACTGCTCTGAATTCTAAAGAAAGAAATTACATGAAACATAAGATTATGATATACACATTCACAGTCACATTTTATAAAAGTCAGGAAATTAAAAAAATTATTTTTTAGTAATTATAAAATACAACTAAATTATAGATTCACCATTTATTTATTGTTCTCTCTTATCCCCATGATCTGAGATTCATCATTTTCACATTTAGTTTTGCATTCTGCTGTTTATTAAACTAGATTATTCAATGATAACAAAATATAGTAGGACTATTAGTCTAGGGGAGATAAGTTCTTAAAATGGATGTTTTAAGAAAAACTGGCACAAATCTATCTATCAGTGTATACAGGGTGATCATAAAATATTCAGCAAAAGTGCAAAGGTAGGTAAACATGACTGAAATGACTTGATTTTGAAATGGAATGTGTGAGCAGAAATGAAATATTGAGGTCATACGCAGTGCTACTGCACAGTTTGTAAAAGCATTTTGCTCACATAAATCATCATACCTCAAGCAAATGCTGAGTAGTATGCACTGCAACATTGGCATACATTTTACTTATGCAGCAGTTACTAAAACAGAGCAGCTATTCAGAGGAGGTAAAGAAAATATTTCCTAGGTACCTTCTTTGAGCAGTTCCATTTCCATGCGCAGTGCAACATACAAAATGCACGTCAGCAAGCTGTGTGTTCAAGTAGCAATGCATAGTGATTAAAATTCACATGGAGAAAGGTCATTTATACTAGCAGAACACTTTTACCTACAACTCAACATCATTTTGTAGCACCCTTAAAGTGCCATTTCTACACCTATATTCCATTACAAAATCTGCTTATTTTTGTCCCCTTTAAAATTTCCTGGATCATTTAAATCATGCTCTTTTTTTCTTTCTCTATTATATATATACACACACACTGACAAGCTAAAACATTTTGACCGTTTCCATGTTGTTCAATGAACTCGTCTGGAAGACGTGGAGAGCGTATGATTAAGTGGAAATGGTATTTAACTGCTGCTGGAAAAGGTAAGAAATCATTCTTGCACTTACTTTAAAGAGCAATAGGAAAGACTACTGATCTAAGCGAATTTGACAGAAGGCAGACTGTAATGGCCAGAAGACTCGGAACGAATATCTCCGAAACTGCACAACTGGTAGGTTGTTTACAATCTTTCATTGTTAATATTTATGCAAAGTGGATAAATGATGGTGAAACCAGAAGTACATGCTAAAGTGTTGGACATCCATGCGTCATCAAAGAAAAAGGATATCGGAGACTGTCCCACTTAATACAGTAAAATCGACATCAGACAGTGTGCCTCTGTTGACCAAGTGTCATTGTTAACTACACCTACAGTGAGCCAGAAACATCAATACTAGACCATGGATAAATGGAAGACAGTTGCCTTGTAGGATGAATAACGTTTCCTCATTCATCACGTCGATGACAGTTTCCCGATATGCCGTCTTCCAGGCAAACAGTTCCTCCCCACTCCCATACAGCAGGTCATACATAGGCTGGTGATAGCAGTATTATGCTTTTGGGTATGTTCTCATGGGTGGCTCTGGGACCTAAATTTATCATAGAACAGACCATAAAAGGTGTGGACTATTTGAGCATAATAGTGGATCACTTGCACTCTTACCTGGCATCTGCCTTCCCAACTGGAAATGGAATCTTCCAGCAGGACAACGCTCCATGTCACACGGCTCAAATTGTGGAGTGGTTTGAGGAGCATCAAGATAAATTCCAATTAATGTCCTGGTCACCTAACTCACCAGATCCTAACCTGACAGAGCACATTTATGATGTCATTGAATGGCAGCTCAGAGCTCAAACACCACCATGTTCGAATATCTTGACTTTGCATAACAGGACAGTGGAGACAGGATGACTGAAGATAGGTTGTTTCAAATGTCTAACAACTTGTTTCCAGTCATCTACCAAGAACCTGTGGCATGCATGCCAAGGTGAGTTGTAGCTGTTTTACTGGTCAAAGATCCTGCAACACGCTATTGAGTAGGTGGACATAATATTTTGGCTCTTCCATGTGTACATATTATATACATATATGAAGGAAATGTAGAAGCCCTTTCCAAACAGGACAAAGAATATCACAGAAAACTACAAAGAGAAAGCAAGATAAACTACTGTATTTCACAGATTTAGCCATTCATTAAATCACTGAATATTTTATATTCTAAAGATATTATTTTACTAAATATACTTATATTAAAGATATTATTAAACAGCCACAGTATATTTTATACTTTGGCTTAATAATTTAACTCAAAGTGTTTACTATTTATTTATATACACTGACACTAAAATTAAGCTAAAAATAACACATATACAACGAAGAGCCATTACCACCCTCCATCTATAACGATGGTCTCGCCCAGGAACAAAATCACTGCACATGTGTGGCTAATGTTGGAGTATATATAAAGAAGCTATGCATTGTCTTTTCAAAAATAGCATGATTAGCAACATAATGAGAAAAGCAGCTGATTTATCAGACTTTGATAAAGTCAAATCATTACGGCTCAGTAACTGGGAACATCAATATCAGAAATGGTGCATTTAATGGGCTGTTCACGTGCAGTTCTTGTGAGCAACTTTCAGAAAGTGAATCAGTCACTAGAATAAATATTAGTGGATGGCCACTCAAAGCAGCCTTAGCAAAAGATTGTTGTAGATGTAATAGTGGAAAGACGTATAACTGCAGGCATGCTAGCTAAAAAACTGCAGTCAAGCAGAGCAAAAGAACATCCAATTAAGTCATCTCAGGCAAGTGAAATACTTAATATGGGAGTATTTCAACTGAACTGAAAGGCAATGTGATAACCTTCTAATCATGGACAAAAGCACATTTTCATTTTTGTCCAAGTGAGGACTCTTCTTACATGAAACCCACTAAGAACAAAAGTGAAGATGGCCATTAAAAAAGTGGCAGAATAATATTACTGGTTGGGATAATAATTAATGGACATACTACTAGTGTTAGAAAGGAGAACTATGGATGCATAGAATTCTTCTCAGAAGGTTAATGTAATGCATGTAAAGACTTTTAGTAGCATAGCTGTAAATCCATTCATCTTTATGGATAATACGATTTTCTGTTATTTATTTAATGTTGGTCAATAGAAAAATAAAAAAAAAAGTACATCAAATGGACAGGCTGTTTTGCTTAAATCTCATAGAACCTGCATGAGATGGCTTTAGAGACTTAACGCAATCCCCCATCAAACAGTAAAAATAATGTGGCTATATTGCTGAAACAGAATTTGGCAAAACCTCTCCCAGAATCTCCAAGACAATTTTACAGAAAGCATGCACAACTCATGCTGAACATGAACTGCAGTCAGCAATCGTACATCTATTCTAGTAACATCTATACTTTAGTTCACATTTTCTACCAGTTTTGCTTCTTCTTTAGCATAGGCAAAACATCGTATGTTTCATAACTGAATCATAATTTTCTATTAGAAGAAAACATCATGATTTCTTCTAATATTAAGACTTATTGCAATATTAAGACTTAATTGCCCCCCAATGTTCAAGTGGTTTAGACTGCTGAATACTGATAGTTTGACCTGGTTCAAATACAAGCATATGGGTTGGCTGCATAGTTTGTTTTCATGGTTTTCCATATAAGTAAGGTTAATACAAGCTAGTTTTCCTTAAAAAGTCATTCACAAAGCCCCCCCTTCTCTTAGGCAGATCTTTTAGGCAGCTTCTCTTAGGCAGCCCCCTTTGCATGCTTTGCCATATTCCAATACCCAATAATGAAGACTGAATTCCATGTTAAAATACTTCCAATACTATGTTCTAAAATAAAGCATTTCACATGAATGATCCTCAATATGCAAAAATAAGATATGACACTTCTCAATATATGAGCATAGTTCCTAAAGTGTAATATTACTATAGAAACATAAATATTAACAACTGGTGAAAATAACCATTTAATAACATCAAATCAGATAAGTACCTCTTTCTGCTCTATTGCTATCAATATCATCTTTCTTTGGAGAAGAAGGAGTTTGAGCTTCAGAACTTGGCAAAGCAGGCATTTCCTTTTCAGGAGTAATATCAAGGTTTTTAGGACGTTCAGGAGCTGTTTCAGGTTCTATTGTAATGTGAGTTGCCCCACTATCATTAGGAATATCAGTTGCTGTTGTGAGTTGAGTAGTATCAGCAATATTTTCACTGGATCTGCAGTTAAAAATAGATAGTATTTAGCATAATTTACATATATGATAATAAAACTGGAAAAGGGGAAAATTTATAATATTCTGTTTCAAAAGATTAAGAGGTAAGATTTTAATTAAGAGGTAATTTTATATGAAGAATATAAGATTATTTACATACAGATAACAAATATTAAACGATTTTCTTTCTGCAATCCTGAAAATGATTAAGCAAATTGTTCAGTATATCTTATCTCAAATTTCCGCTCAAAACAACATTTAAGTAAAAGTTAAAAAGTTACTTTTACTTAAATGTTGAATAAGAATACTTAAATAAGAATCAGCATAAGTTTAGTTTGCAGCACTATAGTTTAAAATAAAAATAATGAATGGTTACTTTAACATATAGAAATATATATCGTTCACAAATAAAACTTATCAGTTTCCATGCATCCTAGATCATAATATTAATTTTCTGAAGAAGCTAAAGAAAATGAACAGTAAAACTTTCTGCATATTTTTTTTATCAGTTTTTTCAAGAATTTGTTCCTCCAGTTATTTAATTAAGCCTTTTAATGTTAGAAAGACTATTACCATAGTTGTCACAGTTGTGAATTTAACTTTGAGTGCTACATCTTTATTTGTACACTAAAAGCTACAGAAGTTTTATGACATTTCTTAACTTTATGTACTATGCATACCAAATTTAACAAAATGTTATTCAGTTGTGAAAAATGGAACAAATGCATTGAATATCTATTCAGTCTACAGCCATTATTCTGAAGCATTAGGGGAAAACAAGTAGAAATGTTAAATGCTGTATAAGTACTTCTGTCCTGTGTTACTGTGTAAATAAAAGTATGAAATATGCCCATAAAATGGCATCTTATGCAGCTTCTTCAAAGTATGAAGAAGTTGGATTTGAATTCCAGATAGTTCTAGTGTTAGTGCACAGTACATATTTTTCATGTCTCTTCTGACAAAACAATTCAGTTATTTGGCAGTAATTATGCATGCACATTTTGCACATAAAAAAAAAAAAAAGGGAACAGTTCTATATCTCTCATTCTACTGGACTGATTGTCGAATTTATCTTGCATTTTCATGTCTTGGAAGCGAGACTGAGGATATATATTAGATTTATATGCAGCATTGTTCTAATGTAGGTTTTTTGACACAAAATTGGACTTTTTGTAAAATAACATTACACTTTTTTTCCATATTTTGATTCTATGATCCATAATTTGATACCATATTTTGATTTTTCCATATATTGATTCATAATTGAATTGATGATTGATGATTCCCTATTTTGATTTTTCCATATTTTGATTCATAATAATACATGTAGATATCCTGGCTGATATCTACATGCGTTATTATGAATCAAAATCGTTTGAAACTTTAAACTTCCCGGTATGGTTCCGCTACGTAGACGATACATTTACTCTGTTTGAAGGTAATAAAGATGATTTAAGTTCTTTCAACAATGAATTCTATTGATCCTGCTATTCAGTTCACTTTTGAATTTGAGACTTGCAATTCTCTTCCGTTTCTCAGCAATCTGGTCACATGTAACACATCCAACTTCAGTACTACTGTTTACCGTAAACCTTCGTCGGTTTGCCTTCCACCACACTTTAAATCATGTCATCCGACTAAACAAAAGTTAGCTTCATTTTATTCCTACATTTTTCGTGCTCTTCAAGTTTGCTCCACCAAACTATCCCTTGATAAAGAACTAAATTATTTAAAAGCAATAGCTGTTGACAGGGGCTCACCCAACATTATTATTCAAGCAGTTAAAAAATTCTCATCTCAACACACTAAAAGGTACACTCTTGTTTTAGGAGGTTATAAAAATTCTGTTGTCATTCCTTTCTTTCCATCAATTAGCTACAAAGCTGCACATATTTTGCAGAAATTTAACTTTCGGGTCGTTTATTCTCCCATCAATAAAATTCCAAGTTCCATACTCAAGGACCCCATTCCGGATATGAACTCCTGGAGTATTTATAGGATTCCTTACCAATGTGGTTTAATTTGCACTGGCCAAACTAAGAGAGCCTTAAAATATCGCGTCAAGGAACATGAGGCATATGTTAGAAAAAAGGAAACACAGAAGTCTTCTGTTGCCCAACATTGTTGGTCCGAAAATCACACTTTCAATTTTTCTGCTGCCAAAATTATTCAAAAAACATCTTCCATTGGAGAACTGGATTTTCTAGATGCATTTCACATTCAAAAAAATATTTCTGTTCTAGTTAACGATCCTAATTCCAATCCATCTTTGCCTTCGGCCTTTAAAGAAATTATCCTTTAGTTCTGGTTTCACCAACAGATGTCGCCACCAGCTTATTTTCTGTCCAGGCTTTCTTATCTTATCTGATTATTAATCGTTCATTTGCACTTTTGCAGCTGAGGATTGTGGTTCAGTAAAACCATCGAAAATAGTCCTGTGAAAATTTGAAAATATAACACTGATTTTTGTTGTTTGACTTGAATTAGTATTTGTTCAGCGTGTTATTGTGTCTTAATCTATGACTCAAATTACGCCAAAGTGCCAAGTTTGTAAAAATCGCACTAGTAATTTTTAAAAATTAGCTCTCAAAATCTCAGCTCCTCCATATTAATTGAATTTGGTATATACAGTACAAAGTCCGTAATCCGGACATCCATTATCTGGAATAATCTATAATCTGGACCTCAAAGGCCACAACCTTTTTTTTGTATGCTTTACGCTTGTGCATAAAGAATGTGTGCGCATACATTACGCAGGAGCCTAATGTATGCTCTAAGCATGCACGTGTTGAAAGAAATGTTTAACCCCTTCGCGCCGACTGTCACGTCTACGTGCCAGCAACGAACACACTCACCTACCGGCTGACACGCAGGCGTGACAGAGCATTTTCCCGCTTACTACCTACTGTCACGTATTTGTTCCAGCGTCCTGGAACGATTTTCAAACTATAATTTCTGCCAAAAGATGGTACTGTATGTCCATATGGTTTCAGATACATGGACATTAGACCTTCTACCAAAATGAGAGAAGCATGACTCACATACATGTGTTTTTGATTATATAAACAAACGGGGAACTAAATGTTTCCGAATGGCGTGATTTATGACGTCTCTTTAAATCGCACTTTATTCGCACGTGGTAGTTGTTTATTGTAAGTAGAAGTTTTATATGCGATAAAGCGTTGAGTATTTCGGTTTACAGTTCAATTTTTAGAAAATAATTATATCTTGTTAGACGTGAATTCTTTCTGTTTTTACCGTTGCAATGTTGAAGCGTCGAAAATGTTTAACAGAGCATGAAATAGCAGAAATGATGCAAAATATTTCAGATATTGATTCTGAAATTCTGATATTCTGATATTGATTCTAAAAGATTAACTGAAAGACATTTTCCAAAACTTTGTTCAGAAGAGACTGATAAGAAAATGAGACGACGATGCTAAATTTGTTCGTATTCCCGGAAATCCTCCAAAACGGCAAATGAGTTATTACAAGTTCAAGGAATGTAACGTAGGACTGTGTGTAGATCCCTGTTTTCAAATTTTTCATACGAAAAGAGAATTTTAAGTATTTAGTTTTCAGATGTATAATGTTAAAAGTCATAAAATGGTGAGTAATTAAAATAAACTGTGTAAAATATGCATTTAAACAAGAAATAAGGTAATTAAAGTATATATATAAAAATATCTATAAAGCATAAGCCGTTTAAATACTCTATAGAGCATTATTAAACAATGCGTTGATACTTCGGAAATTTCATGGATTTAGGCTTAGTAGCAAAAAAGCCCCCGGCCCTGGAGAGACACTCGTGGAAGACACTGCCGGCCTCCACGATAAGCGCGCGTTTTCGCTACCCGGCTCGAAGGGGTTAATAAAGTAAACAAATAAATATTAAGCTTTTTTTAAAAAAATTTGATACCCTTTAGATCATAATTGCTCTTTATTTTATAAATTATGGTTTCATATTTTTAATTGTATCATTTCTGCATGCCATCTTACCAAATTTAAATTGATGATCTATAATCCGGAAAAACTCCTAATCTGGAAACTCTGAAGTCCCGATGAGTCCGGATTATGGTCTTTGTACTGTACTTATTAATATCTTTTGTATTAAACTTATTTGATTCTTCCTTTCACATTTGAAAATTTAGGTTCATCCCAAATAAAATTCACCCAATTTTATGATTTATTTTTTTAATTTGGATTTTTAAATAATTTTTATAAATTTTTTGAAAAAAATTTTGAATTATAAAATTTTTTCCATTATCTTAAAGAAGTTGTATTTCTAAGCATACTTGCAAAAATTAAGAGTTTTTTATTCAAAATTTCCGAAAATATACGCACTGGCACATCTTGAAATTTGCCATTGTTATTAAGCGATAATAAAGCCAAATGTGGTTTACACACTTTGTTAACCTTTGTTAATTTGGACCTTTTTTCCGCTTGTATACGATGAAAAAAAAAAATATGTTGCTATGAATTAAGAAGTTTGCCAAGTAGATTATTCTTGGCACAAACTGAAAAAAAAACCTCCAAGATATTTTTTTTTTAATTTCTCTATAAATTACTCAACAAAAATTACAAAATTTAATACCTAGAATCGAAATATGGAAAAAATTGCTATGTTATTTCAGAAAAAGTTAGATTTTGTGTCAAAATACCTATGTTAGAACAATGCTATATATAAATCTAAATTATATCCTTTGTCACGCTTTCGAGACATGAAAAACGCAAGTGAAATTTTGACAATCAGTCCAGTAGAGCAGGAGATATAGAAATGTCCCCCCCTTTTTTTTTTTGTTCAAGGTGTACAGTAAACCTGTATGCATATACAGTTACCTGCTGAATGCAGGGACTATATTACTAACACACTGCACAATGCTTAAAATCTCATTCCATAGAAAGGTAACTTTCTGTGGAAAATGGCTTAGGCACAGTTCACATTAGGAAAGTAACTACAATTTATGCAAACATGACTATTAATGTAATTAAAAGGAAAAAAGAAATGAATGTTAATTGAAAGGATTTTTATTATGGCTTATTATATAGGTACATGATACAATAATTTTTTTTCAATAGCTGGTGATTTTTACTTGAGGCAATGTCTCATTAACTCTAAATGCTTTGTAGTAAGAACTGTGAAAGTTTTCAATACCTCTCAAAGTGTTCTCTTTCATCATTTGGATCAATCTCCATTACATAATCAGACATTTCCTGTGCCTTTTGTAACAATTTATTGAACTTTGTTGTACATTATCTTCTTCACTATTTGCTGCTCTCACCATCAGCTGGTACTATAAGATCAACCAATTCTTCACTTAACATTTTTGTCATTTTATCATTCTCGAATAATTCATCAATTTCTCTTTCTTCTATATCTGAAAATCCACATGACAGACATAATAGGCTTTGAATGTTTTTAGGATTCCTTGATCCATCGGTAGGATTAAGGAAGTGGTATTGAGTGGAAGAAATAAAACATTTACATTTGCAAACAATATTTTAAAAGCTTCAGTACTGTAATCTGGAGATTGAGAATTAGGAGAACTTAAGGCTCAGGTTTTGCTGTTCTAAATAATGTTTAACTTCTTTAATAAATGAATTTTCAAACCAGTCATTAAAAAGGACTATCACAATAAGGCAGACACTCTGCAGCATACATGTATAATTGAGTTTCTCATTGGTGGGCAAATTAAATGCTACACAATAAACTAACATGAATTTCATAAAAGCTTGTATCAAGCTCTGTATCAGTTTAAAACTTTTGCAACAGTAAAAAAAATTTCATCACTGTAGCAGGCACTATAACGCCTAGTAATCATCTAACCAATATAGAAAGAAATTATAAACAATTATTTCTTATTACCATGCTAAAATATTATACTACTATTATGATGCTAAAAAGCATTATAGTATAGTCATAAAAAATACAGGAATTTAAAAGTGATAAAAACATTTTTAATCAACTAACAATTCTGAAACTACACATGAAAGTTAAGTTACTGCTCATAATAATAACAAGAAATAATAATAGGAAACTAAAAATAAAATTCAAACTTTTCATGTTCACTTATTGCTTCTTAGTTACACAATAAATTCATTATTTAGTCTTTGCTATTAACAAATGCATTTGACTCTTTAAAACTGAAAATACATAGTGTTTACTTAAAAATAATTAAAAATAATAAAATACATAAATTAAGAGCAATAAAAACATAAAATTCTTAAAATATACGTCTTTACAAACAAAGGGCAATAAGACTATTAGACTGATCTCTCTAAAAATGAAATAAATGAATAATGTAATTAAACTCTTGTTAATATAATAACATACACAGTTCAAAAATTAAATATACATAGGAATTCTCACCTGTAGTTAATATCACTTATGAGAAGGAAATCTTTATGGAAGTAATGCAACTGAATTATTGTAATAATTAGGAAAAATGTTGGTGTCAGCAATTTAAGAAATAAAGTTCCAGTATCAGAATCATATAACTCTAATCCCAAATCTCGCTGCCTGCAATCATAAATATACATGTTACCATATTTAATTAATTACCATATAACATTAAAACAATTACATCCTGATTTAACATTTTTCCCCAAAAAATTAAAATTTTTGTCCCCCCCCAAAAAAAAAGATTTTATTTAACTTTGAATTGCCATCAATTTGACTAATGTTTTAGTCTAATTTAATGATAAATTCAGAATATTTTCCATTTCTGAGTTTCTTAAAGACTTTTCCTTAAGCAGGGATCCTCAACACACTGCCATCAGTGTTCTCACCAGTGCTTTTAAATGTGTCTGCTGCTGTGCAACCATGATAAAAAAAGTGCTATGTAATTTTTTTACATTTAGATATTAATTAGAGCTATATACGTGTATCTGCTTAAAAAATATTATATATTTATAGTTTTAAATGGGCTTACCAGACATGATACAGTTTGATCAGATTTGTTCCAGTTTCTGAAGGTATGATCCTCAGGTCCCACGCAATTTGTCATTTTGACCTCATTATTTGTTAAAAATTTTAAAATGTCAAATACCATTATTTTTAACATTGAATATTATAAAACCAAAGTACAAAATTTCGATGTACAGATGAAGATCCTGATGATTGCTTACAAGCAGGAATATCATCTTACTCTCCCAATTATGGAGCTATAACCTATGAAATGTAATTGCAAATGTCACACTGATTTAACAAATTGCATTTTTATTACAAAATTTTATACCAACAAATTGTAAATCAAAGAATTTGTACACTTTTGTCTGTACTATTCAGTAATTATTTATCTTACATAAGGATGATAGCACAAATTCTTTTAACTTAAATTATATGTTTGGACTACGTTTTTTGGTATATTATGTATATTATTAACTACGTTAATCTATAAATTTACCTTGAAAGAATAAATGCGCCTACAACGCCAGCAATATTTTATAATGTACTCCAAGGTACAAAAAAGTTGGGAATTCCTGAAACAGACCTTCAGCAGTTATCTCTAAACTATGCATCACCTTATTCAAATACAAGCAAAAATTCTCTCTTCAAGGACTGCACAGGAGGGTACTTTCCCAAACTGCACAAATGAACTACATACCTATCAACACTGATTTTGTTAAATTTCAGGATATAACATGATTATAATGCAAATGGATTTTATGCTGACAACAAGGAAATATAAAAAATCAAATAATGTAATAAATTATGTTTGTAGACAATTTTCTAGACACACAGAAAATTTTTATATTTATGGAATAATAGTATGAAATGAAATAAGTAACACATTCCAAAACGCTGATATTGAAATTTGGATAGAGTAATTTTTTATTAAAGAGACTTTTTTTTAAAACAATAGCTTATTTCACGAAGTGAATTTCTAAAAATTTTATTATTATACATCCTGTTTATGAAATATCTTTCCTTTATTCACTTTGCTCTGACATTAATATTAATGTACATAATTATTGTGTTTAATTTCACATTTATGTGTTTACTTCAGTATCTCTTAATTAAACTTAATTATTCTTAATTAAATGATTAATCTCAATTCCATGAATTTTAATGTCAGTCCTTAGCAACTAAATTAAATTTATATTTGCTTAAAAATTGTCCATAAAACCAGGATTCAAGGATTAAAGCAAAACAATCTCTTAGATATAATTAAAGAATTCATAAATTCTAAGAAGAAATGGATTACTTTTAATTTGTTTCATTTAATCAGAAAGTAAACTTAAGTTTAATAAAACAAATCAAAGTTTAATTTCCAAAATATAGAAAAATATAAAAATTCCCTTAAGTAAAAAGTTATACTTTACAGCATCAAAAACTTAACTGAACACTTGTTTACAACAAATTATTATAGAATATAAATATCACAGTATTTCACTCTAGTATAAACATGTAGGATATGAAATTTCTTTATTGTACGGCAGTTATATTTGTTAACTGATATAAATTACTGAAATATAACTGAATAATACCTCAGTAATTTATTAACCAAAGATAAACATATTGGATAGATATGTGCTTAAATGTTAAGTTGTTGTAAGAATGTGCACAATTTCAAAACTTTACAAGAATAAATTGATTCATATCACTGTAACACTATCCCAAGTATTATCAGTTATATAGAAGAGTTTTGTTCTATATTATATTTACAGTAATTTATTTGCAAATTCAAATACCTTAAGTCTTTTTTGGGAGGGGAAGAGGGTAATATAAATTCACCTTATAAAATTTACACAAAAATACAGTAAACAAACAAAAGTGACATTGTCTACAGAGAAAAATCACCATTTCTCATATTTATAAAATCTGTCAATATTGTATTAATAAATTAAGTGCTGAAATGTGAGCCCTTTGCAACATAACATTATTTGGAAATTGATAGAAGTGATGTGAAGATTTTAATGCTAATAATTTCCAGTATAAATATCTCTTTGAGTATTAAATTAATCACTCGCAAATATTTTTTGACAGCACTCTTAGTTAATATATTCTTTTAAATGCAACTATTCTAACACAGTTTCAGTTCTGTTCTTCTGTAGTGGATTGACAACTATTGTAAGGCAAGGTATAAGGGTTGCTCAAATGAAAAGGTACAAAACATCGTCGTAAATTAATAAACCGGTTGAAATCTGAATATGTTGCTTAGGCATAATGTAGTGGGACACCTAAGGATGTGAATGTAGTGTCCCGCATGGTGGTGTGCATGTGCAGGCACCCGTACATCACACAAGAGAGAAGCAGGCAATTGTGTGTTCCATCCAATTGGTGCGGAAGTGACAAATTCGATGGTTGAGGAGCAGCAAGGTGTTATCCAATTTCTGACTGTGGAAGAGTTTAAACTGGCTAATATTAACTGCCGATGGTGGTCACACACAGGGAGATTGTGTATCTGACAGGTTAGTCAGAAAGTGGAGTGCCAGTTTTCATGAAGGTGTGGAGTGTTTTAGTGATAACCCAAGACCAGTAAATGCCATGCAAACATGGTAATCATGGCTGAACTCATTAACAAGGTGGAGGACGTGGTGAAAAGTGACAGAAGAGGGAATCCTTCAGCTTATGAAACAGTGGGATAATTCTGCTCAGGCCCCTGGTGATTACTTGTGAATAAAGACTTCAATATCCATAGTGTTATTTCGTACCTTTTTATTTGAACACCCCTTATAAAAGAAGTTTTGTGATAAATCTATATTTTTTCACTTATTTGTGAAAGTCTAAAAGTCATGAAATGATCAGCAAAAGAAGAACTGCAGCATAATACAATAATAATGTTTTGAAAGACAAATTCAGAAATAGTATCCTAAACATCAAGCAGCAATTTTTGCTTGATTCAACATGCATAAACTGAAAACCTCCTAAATTCAAATTTGGTATAATTTTTGGTGCTAAAAGTGGATGCTGTTTCAGAAACTGTTGATGAACTCAGTTTTGTCATGTGTCCAGTGTTATAAGTGTACCGTGAGTACCTGGTGAATGTCCCACTCACATGCAGAAACCAACCCACAAGCCATCCAGATACCATTTAATGGATGCAGTTCATGTTGGCTAGTGTGACAGGTAATTATTCATGGATTGGCTACAATGCATGAAACTTCCATATCTCCAAGTCCCAGGCTGATTCAGCTTCTGTGACAATCTGAGGCATACTCATAAGACAGGAACTAGGCCCTTTAGTTTGGAGTCAATGCTAATTGATGTGAGATCTGAGGATATTCTTTCAGATCATTTGTTTCACTCTACCTTTATTGCTATAATTGCACTCTTTTGCAAGAAAAACCGAAGCATCAAGAAGGACTTTTGCGAATATGATGAAATTTGGTATGCCAAAATCATCTTAATCAAACATGCAAATGATCATCTTAATCAACAATGCAATTTCAAGACAAATGAACAGGAATTGCGATCATAGCGCACATTTCTAGAATGCAATTCGCAAAGTATAAAGTCAGTAACAGAGGCGGAAAATTCACCTTTTTTTGTTGCTGCCATTGTAATTCCATAAAGAAGCAACTAAAAATGCCATTACGATGATATCAAAGGCCTTACAGACAACTAAACGACTTCAAACGTGGTCGCATTGAAGGGCTGCGTGAAGCTGGGTGGTCATAACAAGGAGTAGGTCACCACCTGCAGTGTACAGACACTGCTGTGCAAAGATTTGGCAGCAATGGTTGCTACAAGGAAATTGCAGACGAAATGAAGGCTCTGGAAGGCCAAGGAGCACAAATGCGAGGCAAGATAAGATGATCATTCGCCAGGCCCGAACCGCCCCAACGGTGTCATTGTCGACTATTCAACACACTATAGCATGTGTATACCTCCCGTGGTACCGTCCACCATCTCATGATGCTTGTCTAAGGCGGGATTATGCTTACAGAGGCTGTTAAGACGTTTGCCTTTGACCCCACAACATCGGCAGAGTTATCTGGAGTGGTGTCATAGCCCATCATCATGGCTGCCATCAGACTGGCATCATATAGTGTTCAGCGAGAATCAGTTTTGAAGAAGATGACCACCGTGTTCGTGTCTGGAGAGAACAGGGGCCAGTGGTCCCAATCAGCTTTTGTTTTACAAAGGCATACTGCCATACCCCCTGGTGTGATGGTATAGGGCACTATTTCTTATGACAGCAGGTCATCTTTAATCATCCTCCGTATATCTTTAATAGCTCAAGGATATGTTGACACCATCTTGTGGCCGCCTTCTGAGTTACCCTTCATGGCATGTCATCCTTGGGCCATTTTCCAACAAGATAATGCCAGGCCACATACCGCTCACATATCTCTGGACTGTCTCCGTACGGTTGATACTCTTCTTTGACCAGCAAGGACACCAGACCTTTCACCAATCGAGCATGTCTGGGACATAGTAGACTGCCAGATTTGGGCACCACAAAATATCGCAAATCTGGAGCAACAACTGATGAATGCCTGGCAGAATGTAAGACAGAATGACATTAGGAACCTCTACCACTCTTTGCCTCGACGAATTCAAGCATGCATTGCCACCAGGGAAGATTTGACCAAATACTAATTTTAACACTCAATGGGTGATTGTCAGCCATGAACAGGTATTATGACCTTGACTTTTTAATCATTTTATTATCTGTGTATGAGCTATACACATATATGGTGCTTCGAATTTTTGCAAAAGAGTGTATATGGTTATTATAAGTCTGAATCTGGCATCAGATATAAAGTAATAACACATAATTTGCAACAATTTAACAGCATAATTGTCAGAAAAAGATCAATTTAGTGGTACAAAAATACTACACTTAACAGGATGATCACCATCCACCAGTTCACACAGTTACAAGTGTGTTATAAGCAAATGGATTTGCAAAATTTATTGAGTTTCCTGATGGGGAAATGGCATTTATATTATTAATGAAAGAAAGAAAGAAAAATATCTGAAATTATAAGCCAATATATAACAAATTACAAACAAAATCTCATGACTAGATAAAGCTGGCACTCAGAGGGTTAAAGAACAATTTTCCTACAATTAAATAACTCTTGCAGTCGTTTCATCTGAATCTTTAAATCATTTCTGGAATGCATTGAAAACTTCTTGTGAACAGACATATCCACCCCCATTCCAATATAATCCAATAATGGCACATACTGCAGGATTCGTAAGAAGCATTTCTGTCATTTGGTTTCAACAAATTACTGATTCTATACTGTAACATGTTGTGGTAAACCAGGGGGCTAGATAAGGTACAATTCATTAATGGAGCTGCTATTGTATGAATTTAGGCTTTTTCATATACATCACATGAAACTAATCAATAATAATAAAGACTCCTAAAATTTGTTAGAAAAAAAATTTTTTAAAGGTCAAAAAATGTTTTTCATTAAGTAAAAATATAATTAGTAATGTCACTATGCATAAGCACATTTCTCAAGTATAAAGAAAATTTAACTTACAAACTTTTAGGCACATGAAGATACTTTTCCCAATAATTATCAAAGTCTTCAAACTGATATGTGTAAATAAGAATGAGAACAAGCATAGAAAATACAATAACTGTCAACCAGAAGCTATACATGATTCGTCTCCAAAATTGGTATGAAAACTGTCAATAAAATTTGTATATGATTATAAATATTTAGAAATAAGATTAAAAAAATTAACAGAAAAGAAATAATTTTTTTAAACTGCTCTAATGAAAGTAACTATGAGAATTAATCAAATATGACTTGAAAATTTTGATTTTTGTGCTTAAACTGACAAAAAAGTGGCAGCACAATCACACATTGTAGCCTCTTTGCCAATATTATATATTTTTGAACATTATTCTTGACAGTGTGCAAATTTCCTGCAATACTTATTGATATCCAGAGCATAAAGAAACGTGTTAACCTTTCGGTATTAAGCAATTCTTTCTTTCCAAATATGCACAATATTTATCAATTGCGGTGGAAACAAGTGGCACTTATTTTCTCCCTAGATGCTTTGTTAAATGTGACTATCTCTGAGTGAGAAAAAGAGGCACCTTTTTGAAAGGGAAATATTCAGGCATCTTTATAGAAAAATAAAATTTATACCGATTCTTAAGAAAATAATAAAAATATTTTATCATGCTATAACAAATAACAAATTTAATAAAAACCATATTTTGTTATTTGCCATTGTATTTTCATGTTATTCATCTGTCAATAATAATGCTTTAGTACTGAATTTTTAAAAGGTACAAAGATGTATGAGATAATTTACAAATGAATAAGGCATGTAATATTAAAATAATCAAACTTTAATGAATATATTTATTTATTTATTTATATACCTAAAAACAGTTTTGTGTGTGGTAGACACTGAAACATGGAATGATACATAATGCAGAATTTTGCACAACTAAAATCTTCTCCACTTGTATCACTTTTCAAACTTTCAAAACAAATATCTGTATCTGAATCCAAATCCTTTTCGCTATCTTATAAAAGATTTTCGTTATCTAAAACAGATTTCTTATTCAAAATAAAATGCTTTAGCTTTCTTTTTCATGCCATTTCTAACTATAATGTGTATTCTAAACATAGCAATAAAATTTTCTGAAAAAAACCCACCAAATTCACCCTTATCATGCAAAAAATTAATACTCCTGCCACCACCTATACCAAGTAAAATTAACTAATTTGCAAGTTCAACACATTTTTTACAATAAAAAGCACTGGATTCTTTCGAACAATGAACCCACTTCATCTGTGTGCACTGGGGCAAAAATCTGAGTGACACTAGTTTGTTATCATTTAGTCAGAAACTTGTAATATGAGCAATGTTTGTATGTGCCCACTGTGATGCATAACTGCAATGTGAGCTGAGCCTGTTGATAACCACAAAAAAGTTCATGAATACTTTTAATTCTGAAAAATAATGCAATGTCAAAACCAAAAGATCCTGGGAAATGATCAAAAATAAAGCAAAAGCTATACAGTTTGTTCTGCTTATCTTGATTATTACAAAAGAAAGAATGTCGAGACTATAACATTTTGCATTTAATGGACAAAAGTTTCTCTTAAAATCCCATAATAGCATATTCCATTATGAACAGTATGGCATTACATGCGCCACATAAAAAATTAACCAGTGAGAAGGAACAAAGTCTCAGTCTTGCTCCTTTTGATTAGTCTTTTGCCACTGGAAAGGCTTTATTTGCATTAATTTCTAATAGCAGAATGATATGATAAATAAAGAGTACTGATGCAATTTTCTAAGAATAAAAGAAATAAAGAAAATAATACTAACTTTAACAACAACACATCAGTAAGCTCAAAAGAATAAAGAGTTCCTGCCCAACAATTCCTACTTTTATACACTCACAAACCAGTTGCCAGTATAAGCAGATTATAATATATATTTAAGCATCCTTTTCCTCTAAATTCCATACATATATATATTATTTGTGACAGCAATTCATTTGAAACCTTGAAAAAGATTTTAGGAGAGCAAATGTGATCAGGAAATGAAATCACATTTATTACAGAAGACTGACATTACATCCAAAGAACAAGTTTTGTCTGCTAGTATGCAAAGACAGCATTATTAGGAAATGTTTTAAACATGATCTGATAATCAAAATTCCAAACCATATATAAGGCATTGTCATATACAACAAGAGAGGCATTATACCAACATATGAAATAATTCCAATTTTGTTTAAATTTTTTAACATATAGGCACGTGCAACAAAATTATACAAAATAAAAAAAAATTATTTTACTCATTTTACTAATGTATGATGTATAAAAAGATTTTGGCACAATTTACAGTCTGAGAAATGTTTTAAAAATAATTATAAATTTCAGTTTTTAACCAAAAATAATTTTTTATATAACTAAAATAAATAAATTAATTAATTACAAATTTTAATAATAAAAATATTGATAAGTAATAAAGGCATAAGACTTACTTGAAACATTAGAATAAAGAATAAAAACAGAAACATATAAACTATGCGATAGACGACAACTACTTGTCCACCAAGTGAGATAACCATCAGCATAGTTGCTACAACCCATATCCAATATTTAGTTAATAAATTAGAAACTGTTTCAGCAATAAGACGAATATAAGGATTAGGAGACGTTGTAGAGGGAACAATACTAAAATGTCTCTTTATGGCTGAAAAAAATATAAAGTAAGTCACAAATTATTTCATAAAAATTAAAATTTTAAACATATGTTCCATACAAAATTCTTAAAGAGAATGATATACAGTACAAAGTCCGTAATCCGGACTCGTCGGGACTTCGGAGATTCCGGATTAATGGGTTTTCCGGATTATAGATCATCAATTTAAATCTGGTAAGATGGCATGCAGAAATTATACAATTAAAAATATGAAACCATAATTTATGAGATAAAGAGCAATTATGATCTAAAGGGTATCAAAATTTACAAAAAAAAAAGCTTAATATTTATTTGTTTACCTTATTAAACATTTCTTTCAATGCAAGTTGTTTAAGTTGCTTCGTTTTTTGTGCAAATACTTTCTCTTTAATTCTATAAACATACATAATTTCTTGTTCAGTTACAAAGTTCCACTGTTCAAGCTGTAATTGCTGTGTCAAGAATACCGACTAATTTGTCAATCGAAATTTTTTTGTTTTCAATAGCCTCTCTGTCACTTTCTATCGAATGTGCGCATGCATAAACGCTTTACGCACATGCATGCGTAAGTTTTGTGGCCTTAAGGTCCGGATTATAGATCATTCCGGATAATGGACGTCCGGATTACGGACTTTGTACTGTCTTATCTGTAATCTTTACGACCGATTTTGTTTGATAAAGTGATGAAAATATGTTAGATATGTTAAAAAAAAAGTATCAAAATACAGCTTAACGTTTCCATAAAACAATAAATTTCCATGAAAACTTCTGATTCCAACAAGACAAATGTACTTTTTAAATTAAGAACATTAACCATAAACAGCATAAATTAATAATTTCAAAAATTCAAATAAATCTTCTAAATATGTTAATTTAACTAGTTTAAAACATGAACCATAGTGTTATGAAACTGCAACCAATACAAATTACTCAGATGTCTGAAAAAGACATTTAAATTATTAATTAAACTAAACTTATATTTAAGTGATTCTTTAGATCATACATAGAAATGAAATTCACTCACTGAAACTATGTCATTGAATAAGAAAAATTATATACATCATTAATTTATAGCATTAAATAACACAAAACAGTTTACAGAAAAGAATGCAAAGCAAACAATACAGGTCCAGAGAAGGTATAAAATTTCTATTTAATTCTTATTTTAAAGAAAAGTATAGTACCCTCTATTTTTTAAATTACCATTATTGTGAATTTTGAAATGTCTTATTTTGAATTTTTCATTACATTATATTAAACCTATATTCTTTCTGTTGCACATGCAAACTCTTTGCAGAAAAAAAACTCAAAACAAAAATATAATATAAAAACTGATGCAATTATAAAGACAAGTAATTTTAAACAAAAGAATTACAATGATTCACATATGAGCAAGGATGAATTCAAAATTTAAATTTCCATAAGTCAGGACTGAATGGAAACTCAAAAGTAGAACACGGATATCATTGCACATTAACTGAACAAATTATACTGATATCTCGTAAGCTGTCTTGTTTCAATCTCAGTTTGAAAAATCATGCTCCAATTTACTACAACCTTCCAGAATAAAATGATGTTAATACTAAGGCTGTTCACACATTGTTTAGACTATTTTCATTGTATTTACAGAAGTATTTTACCTTTGCATTTTAAATGTTCCATTTGATAACCCTTATTCTTCACTATCTTTCTACACCATAATTTCCAAGAAAATACAGCTTTTTTTAGTAGCAGAAGATGTAATTTAGCCCATTGCTCTTGAACAGCTTTCCAAAGTCCAAGGAGGGTTGTATTTAGTAGGGATATGAGTGAAAGGTAGGGCCTTAATACCTGCTTGTTATTCCACTTTTTTCGTGTGACTGCTTGCTTTGTCTTGATGCAGTTCTACTGATTGATCATACTGGGTAAAGAGAAGTTATTTCATATTTGAAAATTGAGTGTAAAATATATTCCTGATAATATGTGGTGTTAACCTTACCAGTTTCCTGTCTGTCTTTTTATTTTTATTTATCGTTACATCAAAAACAAGCAAAAATCATAAATCCCTTTGGAAAACTTTCTACAGGTTCTTTGAACCATGTTCTAAGATTTTTTTTTTATAATAATAAATGTATCTCATTTTATTGCAGACATTTAAATATATCCAAGATTTATCTATTGTGATAATATTTTTTCCATTTTTGTCTGAATAATTGGTCCTCATAGAGAACTCTACAGCATGTTCTGCTTTCGTCGATATTTCATGGAGAAAGACGATGCACATTATGTTTTTTCACCTTTTTAAGATTCAAATCAGCATTAATCACTTTGTTTACAGTTGATACTGAACACTTTAATGATTAAACAACTTTCCTTTGACTCTGTAGATTTTCTTTTAACATTAAAGTTTTTACCTTTGCAACATTCAAAACATTCTGTTTTTCCTTGGATATGTATTTTGAACAATTTTTCTCCTTGAAGCCACACTTTGATGTTTTTTCCTTTTTTATTGACAATATTATTAGCTGTCGCTGCTTTAGATACCAAAAAATCATGGCCTTTCACAGCATTTTTTAACTTTCTGAGTGGTATGACCGGCTTTATCCGGTAATGAGATTTTTCATCACTTGATACATATTCACTTATAACTTAAGATATTTTGCTTTCTTTAATAATGCAAATGTAATCTTGATGAATAGAAATTTATGAAAATAGAGCCTAAAATAAGTAATTATATAAATTTAGCTAATAAACACTGAATAAATACAGGGCTTCATGACAGATCCAAAAATCTGAGTTACTCAGAGGGTTAATAACTAAATACGAATAATTTTCTTAAAAAGAGCTCAAACATATACTTCCATCCAATGCTTCTTTAAAAGCGCCATTTTGCGTGAAAACCAAATTGTCAAATAACAGACAATAATTTACATTTTCAAAAATATAGTTGCAGTTAAAAAAAATGTTTCCAAGCTGGCGCCTTTTCTTATAGCGAAGCAAAATCATCTAAAAAATGTGCAAACAGCCTCTGTAGTGATGAAAAGAAATTTAGAAAAATGTGGAAAATAATTTCCAAAAATATATTATTAGATTTCAAAGAAGCATATATTTAGCTTTTAGGGTTTATCCCATATGACTACACTAATCTAATGCAAATAATTACAAAATAATTTTTATTCAATACAGTGAACAAAAAGAGAGCGAGTTAATTTCATCAAAATAAATCTTGTTATATTTTTATAAAAAAAAAGCCACTCAGCTTTCATATTTATGCTGAAAATAATTTCATTGCATGAAAAACAGTTTCATATTTTGTCTCAGTTAATATTTTTATTAATGCAACCCCATATATTATAATATTCAATCCAAACAGCTGAACTAATATTTAAATGGTTATAACTATAATCGTGATGGTCTACTGCTAGGTGGAAATTGCAAAAAACAGGATCATTGCTTTACACTGAGCACAAAATGAGAAAGATTGTACTGATTTCTGGCATCAGTGATACAAGTGTGGCCTTCATTTTGTTAATGGCTTTAATGTATCTTTTGTCTCATACTATTCTTTGACATAAATTAACTACTGCATGTATAGAACTAAACATGTGCATCTCTGTTTTTTTACACACTCTTATGTCACTATAATAATATCATCTTGCTGAAATCAGATAAATCATCTGCTTTTCCCACATAAAGGTATAATGAAAGCTTGAATGAACGAGCTCTGATCCACATATGTGGTGCCTCTAAAAAATTCCAGGGTAATTTATTCCAATCATTTCAATAGATATGCCACATAACCAGTGGCAATGACTACTAGCACCTTAACGTTTTACTTCTTTAAAAATCTTCTCAGGTAGAAATCAGTTTAAACAGAATTTGTTGTTGTTGTTTTTTAAGTTTATGCAGGTTACATATCTGTGGTTAGATTCAGTTGTAAAAATGAAGAAGTACAGTTTTAAGAGTTAATCTATATTTGGTGTCAAGAACCATTCATCTCTTGGTTTATGCAATTTAGTTTTTAATACCAATGTTTGCCAGTAGATGCCCTTAGATGGCATTATTCAAGATCAGTGTCCTTTGTGGCTGTTCTATTTAATATCATGCTTGAGACTGCAGCCCTTTAGATTGTAACTCAGTGCTCAAATTGATCGTGTTAAAAGAGTTTTCATGCTGCGAGTGCATTTACAGCAATGTCTTTTCTGTGAGGGAATCAATGCCTCCACATAACGAAAGCTTACATTTAATTTGTGATACAAGAGCAAACTAACAACCATATTCAAAGGTAAGAGAAAGTTCACTCAGACAAAGAAACTTCATTTTGAAATGTTTAAAAGATCATATTGATTTTGTCTAACAAGTATTGCATGCAATTTTCACAGAATATTTTGCATGAGCAAAAATAAGCAAAACTTCATATTAGAAAAGAAAGCAAGAAACCAGAAAAGAATTTGTCACCTTAAGCAATAAAAAATGCTCATTCGAGTAACTGAACATTGATGATAAGTTTTGTTCCATCAGGATAGCATCATTCTATGAAGCCTCATTCTTCTTAATAACCTTAATTTTTACTCATTATAGTTTTTCTTTTCAAATTTATTGAGTTCAGAGAATATCCAAAATTCCATATTTCAGCAATAAAAAAATTCATTTACTTTAATTCAAATTAAAAAAATTCTCAAAATTTTTTAAGCACTTTTTTGGGGGGGGATTCATTTTAGTTTCAAAATTCTACATAGTATATCTCTATCTATCAATATAGAAAGAGATATATATATATATTTATCAATCTATATTAGCCAATAAAGTCCTTCAAACCAATATCAGTTGGAATGTCTTCAAATCCTTCCAATTTTCACCATTTTTGTAGAAATCCTTGGCAGACACTTTAATTAACCATATATTATAAAAATTATCAAGATTTTGCATGTTTGCTTTCCTACCTCTCCAACATAACTTCTTGCTTTATACTATATTAAATTCTTAATGCATTTTCCTAATTGGTGAAGAGAGAAAATACTTTTTGACTGCCCTGTCTGTAAATACTTCAGGTAATTCAATACATCCAATTTAAACTTAATGGTATTGGAATTTCTTCTCTAACTTAACACTATATCACTCATGAGGTTTTTTTTTTTACTTAATAAAAATACAATATCATCCTCCTTCCTATAATACAATTTGCACAGCTTCTCTATTTTCACTACCAAATAGCCAACTGATAATACTGCTGAATACTTGTAGTACTATGTTTTAGTACAAGGATGTAGTATTCTGGACTGCAATTATTTTCTCTCTTTATAACTTAAAATGTGTATACACATTTTAACAGTCCTTTAATGATACTTGGGACTGCTAGGCAATATCATTTATACATGCACACATACACGATAAACACATAAAGATAACAAATGTAATAGCAGACTCTTAAGGAACAGCAATAGTAAATTCAATTTGAACAAATGTGAATAAATACAAACAAAAGTGCACATTTAAACATTTACAACATTGCAGTGATGCAGCAGAATATCAAATCACAGCATTTGAAATAAAATGGGGGTAATTTAAGCAAATTCAACAGCTTTTATATGCACAAGTATATTTATATTAGTCTGTGGGTAATTAGGACACCATCGAATTTGAATACCAATTTTTTGGGAGGAAATGCAGTACTTTTACTGCAAAGAAATTATATCACGATTTTTTCTAGAATTAATATCATCAATTTTTTCAGAAAGACTGAAATTTATAAGGGAAATATATCTCCATACAAGTTTGATCTTAAGATTTTGTTAAATATTTTGTTTTAACAAATTTTATTTTCTGCATTTCTGACCTTCTCATAAATTTAATATTGGTCAAAACTGAATGAATTTATAAAAACATTCTATGCATTAACTATAAAAATAACAAAAGCTCCATCAAAACTCTTTTATCCCATTTTAATATATTTATATATACATATTTCCCTTCCGTTTAAAATAAGATAAGCATTAAATCTAGAAATATCTGAATATTTACAGCACAAGTAAAGACAAGACCAAAAAGAAAAGTTTATATACTTTAGAAGCAGTTCATCTAAGCTACTATGAACTCAGTTAAAAAGGAAAAGGTGATAGGTTTATGATGGTATCCAGACTAATAAACATACATGGCCTAGGACAGGCAGGATTGGCAGTGTTATAAGAAATGTTAAAAGGTTCCAGCATCAAACCTTCAGCAATATCTCTTTGATTTGACTGTTGCCTTTCTTCAAAATACTGCCGCATTGTGATCCAAAACATAACAGTATATAACATCTATAAAAAGAAAAAATATATTATAAGCAACTAATAGTTAATAATGCAATATATAATTGTAAACATTTACACATTTTAAACATACAGAGGGGTGCATAATAAATGAAGTTCAGCTTCAAAATGTTCAAGTCTCATAGAAAAGGAAGATATGCACAGTAAATGCAGTTTAGCATTTTTACAGATAATATTTCTCTTCTTATATTAACAACTCTTCTATAAAACTCCCATAGAAATATTTTTTCCTAAGAACTTTTATAATATAAATAGACTTCAATATATTTTCTGAGTAATTTATTTCTATGCATCACCTATGAATACACTACATGTCTATCACAGAATGAAGATATTCGTTCATTTCTAATTATCTATTTCCTGCACACTTTGAAAATTTCCCAGCATTAGTAATACTTACATTTTCCTGATAAATTTCTAACCATTAAAACAATCTAAACAGAAACCAATTACAAGCAACAGTAGCTGAGTGATTACTAACAACAGTATTAGAATATGTAAAATAAATAAATACTATAAAAGCATGAAAATAGAGTATGAAATGCACCACCAAAAAACAGAAATGATGACTTTTATCTCTTTATAGTCAGTGAAAGAGATATATAATTTTTTATAATAAGAGACCAAGATTAATGTTAACCTTAACCAAGATTGCCAATGTAACTGCCATTGTATTCACAGTTTGATATGAAAGCCATGTTTTCTTCTGTCCTCCAAACTGAAACAGCAGGATGACCTATCAAATAATGATATCCCCTAGAACTTTATTCCTAAATTCTTTCAAAAGGCCAATCCAGAATATTATTTCTTTTTCCATTTGTGAAGAAAATGCACTCTTTTAAAAGTGAATCTAGTAGCAAACAAAGTCTATTATTGTTAACAGGTGGACATGTCTCAAAGGAGAAGAGAACTAGATATAAGAAACACTGGCTTTATGTACCAAAATGTCATCCAAGCATAAATTAGACCGAAATAATTAAGAAAAATTTTTCTCAATAGAACAAAATACTGGTAACCTGGTATTACCCCACCCTCATAAAAAATTAATTATTAATAAAGAAATATTTCATTTTTATACAATTACAGTAATTCAATTTATTTATTTAATTCACTTCCCTATCATAACTTAATCTACACTTTAAAACAAAGTTTAACAAGCATAAGAACCCTATTATTAACACAATCAAAAAATGAAAAAATATTATTAAAAACAAAAAAACTAACCTTGATTGCAAGAGGTTGATAAGTCAAGTCTCCATACTTTACTAAGCCAATTTGTGCTACATTTTTGCTGAAAGTGGGCAGTTCATCATCATTCAAATTGAGCCCAAAAATATATTGTAAAAGTAAAAGTGCTTCGGCATATACTACTAGAGCAGGAGATGATCGCAAGCAAGCATATCGAGAATTGGGACACATCCAAAGAATGCATGACCAGAGAAGAAGAACAAATGTTAACCAGCTGTGATATGTTATGCTCCAAGTCTAAAATGTAAAACATATTTATGTTACAGATGTTCCAACATGAACTGTTAAGAACATTAACAAAAAATTATTTCAAACACTTGTAAACAAATTTACTAGCTATATAATACATAATTTTCACACTTAATATTAATGATAATAATAGCTTAAGATTATATTTGAAAAAATAACAATAATTTATTATTTCAAGATATTAAGAGTAGCAACCTTGAGAAAATATTCTTATTCATGACTATTAATAAAATTGCTAATCTCTCACTCTTCCCCCCTTTTTTATACATGTTGATGTTTATTTAATATATTTATTATTTAATTTTAAGATTGTTTGTATTGAATGTTTGATTATAATGTTGAAATGTTAATGTATACTGTTGAATAATTAAAATAAAATTTTGTACTACATATTTTTTTATATACAAGCATACCCATTGGTGAGTTATGCCGACCCGAGGAATAATCAAGCATGACCCACCGGTGGATCATGCCGTGAAACAGACAAGTATGCATCACCGGTATTGGTGGTTCACTGCGCAAGAATTGAACCGTATAATTTGGGGCTACGTCGCCCCATGAAATGAATCGCTAATTCAAGTGCCACCACACGAAAAGAACAATGAATATCCGCGCCACAGCCAATGTGTTAAGTTAATGCAATACTTTCAATTTCAAAAAGACATAGTATATAAATAAAGAAAAGAATAAAATTGAGCATTAATTAATAAAAAAAATATTACCATCATGACAATTAATGTAGCCACATAGCTTCCCCTTGCTATCAGTTTCAGAGCTGATAAAATAGGAGCAAACACCTTCTTTAACTTAGAACCAAACCCTTTAGTAATGATCTTTTCTTCATCAGTGTGCTCGGCTAATCCTTCTGGCATATCACTCTCACTAGTCCAAATAATACTCCCATTTGGATCCACTGCTAATGTTTCTTTAGCTGCTGCATCACTGCAATCAATTGTGCGATAGGAGCGTCCTGTGTGATCTTCATCCAAAAGCTAAAATGTTAATAATTTATTGAAAAACTGCAATGGTACTTGTTTCATAATTAATTCCTTCAAAAATGTGACCACATATATGTACTATATATAAATGAGAGAGAAAAAATGACAGTGTAACTTTTCGTAGCTATTATGAATTTTTATTCATTCCTTTTTACGACAAAATTATAGTTTAAAAAATCTGTAATACTGTTTCCATACATGCATTTAAAATACACTAGAAAAAAATTTTAGCAAGATTAGCATAAATTTGCCAAAAGTTCATTTTTTATAGTTGCTGCTTTACTTTTTCCTGCCTGTATAGTATACTTTTTGTTAACCATTCAGAACATGCCTAGAAACCAGACTCAAATATAGTATAAATGTGCATTACACAATATTTTTTCAGGTAATTTAAAAAACACAAATACTTTTAAGAGTAAATCACAACTCAGAAGTACATCAAAGATTTTCAAATTAGAACAATACAAGTCGGAATATGAAAAAAGGAGATACTGAAATATCACGCTATCTAATACACAGCATATAGATTCCTTTCTGAGGGGGTAGGGCTGGTTTATATCTTTGATTCCAGTCTTAAATAATTACAGCTAACTCTGTCTTTAATATGAGCAAAAATTCAAATTTTATTTAGTTTTTATGCCAATCAAATCAGATTTAATGCATTTCAGTGTAAAGCAAAGTTATTCTAAAAATGCACCCTGTTTAAATACAGAAAGACAGTGAAATGAAGCCTTGAAGCAGAAGTAAACCCACTGAGGAAAAAAATAAAGAAATTTACAATATAAACTGGGTACAAATAGATGAATATGGAGGATTTGAGCAGAACCATTGATTAAAACTAACAGAATTTGATAAATGCAAAAAGATTTAACTAAATAAAAGCACTGAAATTTCCCATAAAGAATATGAATTTGATATACGAAAAAAGGGTGATAAATCTTCTATAACTAAAAAATGCTGTGGCCTAATATTTTTTAATTAATTTTTCATATGCTAAAATTATCGAAGAAAACTTCAATAAGAAAGGGCAAACGTAATTTTTAAAAATATCTATCTACATGCACCAAAATTTATAACTTCAATTAATGCTTCAACTATGATTTTATTTTTTATTCAGAATTTACAATTTTTGTTACCAATCTAACTATAATTACACTCCTCTTTTCAAGAATTATGTTTTGTTTTTTTTCCTTCGCATGTTTCAAGTGTCCACTATACAATCTCACTAAATTAGGTTAATTTATAAATTATTGCAAAATGCTCAATAATTATTTAGAAAGAGAAAAGAATGCATTAGTGGAGGATATTCTAAAGAATATCAGTTCAAATTTACTTTATTCTCGGGATAAAACTATGAAAATCCATCCAACCAGAGAGAAAGAAACCATTGAAACAATGATTTATGAAAAAAATTACGAATTAGGATATAAATTATTGATGTTTTACTGTTTCAGATAATTAGTTGCTCATAGGCCATTCAACAAGCTTGAAGTGAAGTTCACTTCCAATTAACCCTGTTTTTCTTTATAGCATAGAACTGAAAAAGTAATGTTAGCAAAACATCTTGTATATATTCATAAATGCTTAATTACTTAATAAATGAAAAATATAAAAAGGGACAAGTTTACATAACTGATGAATATCTAGTAACACAAACTTATATCCCACGAATTACCATGAACTATTTCCTTTATAATGAGAGGCATTTAACCTTCTAAATTTTGAAAATACGAAGAAAAATTTTAAATGTTACCCATCTGATATACCTATGAAAACGGTTGAAGTTCCTAACACCTTTGCTCCTGAAAGAAGCTAATGCTTTTTTTAAAAATTAAATGATATTCAGCTTCCTTTCGTTGAAATTAACACAAAAAAAAAAATTCACATATTGCCAAATATTCAAGTTGTCATGCATCTCTTGCAATTGTCAAAATTTCTTTCTTTTACATACATCGTGAACAAGAATTTTATAAATTTTACAACAGCTTTTTTTTTTTTTTTTTTTTTTTTTTTTTTTTTCTTAAATGGGACTTTAAGAATGATGTATCACTGCAAAAAAAATGACAAACATTTACTGTAAAATCTTATTCTCCAGTTTACCCTGCAACATTTCCAAAACATATTGCTATAGTCTAATGTACTTTTATTCAAAATTTAAATTCCCTTATGTTTAACACTAATTCTATAAAATATGCTAATTCAAAATATGACTATTTACATTTTCATTGACATGTGTCCAGCAAATAAATTAAATAAAAAATAGAATTATAAATAAAATTTGCTTATATATCATTTTGTGATTTGTGAAATTACATTTAATTTATTTTATTATTTAAGAAACATACACACAAAAAAAAGTTTCTCTCATTATTCTGTAAAACATGAATTTTATCCATATCATTAATCGATTAATTTTTTATTGGTTAAACTGAATTTGAATTTTTAGATTAAAAACAAATATTAAAATAATTTGTTTTGCTGTCCAATAGCAATTAGACCATCAGCCATCTCAAATCAAAATGCACATATAAAAATGTTAAACTCTTATTTCATTTCCCTACAGATAAAAGCATCTTTTTTACAACTTTCTTAACAAAAACAATATTTTCAATAATATGATACTAAGAATTAATTTTCTTTTTTGCATAATTATTCTTAAATATTTACATTTATCACTCTCAAAAGAAATATTAAAATATTATTTAAAGCTTCCTCCATTTAATAAAAAAGCATAAAAATATATAAATAAATTACATTAAAAGTTCGCTTTAGCCTCATGTGAAATGCTAATGTATTTCTATAAAATTCATCAAACAAGGAACATTCTTTTCTTTTAGTAATTAACTTTACTGCTGCTCAGTTACTCAGCTTAGAGACTCTGAAAAATACTAAAGTACCGAAGTACATAACAGCACTTGGATATAACAGAAGTTTATTCATGGATTTTTAAAAAGAATAATGAGAAGATTATATTATTTCTTTTCCCCTCAAATAAATAAGGAGGAAACAATTTTTCTTTAAAAAAGTTCTTCAAAAAACTATGTCTCCTAACAGCAACAACTTTCGGATTCTTTGCCATAAGGCAGTACCTGGAAGGGCCCCGAGGGTCCATATTTGGAAAATTTATTGTTCTTATTGTAAGAGTTGATATAGTTAAGGTGCACTAGAATACTAGCAATATTAGGAAACCTATATTCAAGAAGTGTTTGCATGATCAATTAACTATGATATTAACCTTATGATATATTATTTATTAATATATATATATAGTAAATGTTAAATGTGTGGTTTTATAAACAAACTACAGTTAAGATATCATAAATCAATATAAAGATTCTTAAAAACAAATTCCAGAACAAATATGCATATATATAAAGACATTTTAATTACAGATAGCATTAAAATGCATTCATTTGCTTCATATACAAAGCAAACAATGAAAATTTGCTGATCAAACTACTAATTAAAATGTTAAATTAATTAAGCATTACTACAGGGAATGAATGATCATGCATTATAAACCAAAGGACTGTCACTGAATATGCTTTTAAATAGCAAAATTAACTTTAATTATATAAATTAAGAAAATAAATTAAATTAAATTAAAAACTCTCAACAACAAGAACAAAACTGCAAATTTCATTTATTTTTTGCAGTATTTCTCGTATAGTATTAGTTGGAAGTAAATATATCAGCATATTACAGAAACCCAATGTGCACTCAGGAATATAATTGAATTCTTTATAAATATTTTCCAAAGTTTACAATGCACAATCAAATTTTATTATCGGTGTTTAGACGTCTCCTTAGGAAGAATGGTATTTTCCACATTGGAAACCTATATTACTATCAAAAATTGTGAGTTTTTTAGTGATATTTTGTATTTTTTATAATTATCTTGAGCCGAATTTGTTATCGAACTTTTTCAATAATTCATATACAAACCTAAACAGCAAGTATCCTTGGATGAAGGCATTATACTTTGGAGAGAATGGTTATTTTTCAGAGTTTATAATGTGGGAAAACTCATAAAATATGGCTTGCTAGTGAGAATTTTATATGAGAGCGATACAGGATACGTCTGTAATTTTACAATTTATTCTGGTCAGGGGTCACAGCTGAGAGAGACAATACAGACAGTTATATCTCCATACACAGATGTCTGGCACCATCTGTATATGGATAATTATTATAACTCAAGCCCTTTTGCGAAAAAAAATACGGTATTTGGAACCATCAGAAAAAATTAGAGGTTTACCGGAATGTCTAAAACAGACAAATCTCAAAAAAGGACAGAAAATCTTTCACCATAAAGGGGATATTTCAAATCTGACAATCAAAGAAAGAAGTGGGCCTTATTTTGTCTGTACATTCCGTGGAAATGAAAGAGACACAATATTGACAGAACAACACACCAAAAAATAACTAAATCAAATGCATTGATTGATTATAACAACTTTATGAAAGGTTTCGACCGTGCAGATCAGAATTTGTCTTACTATGCAATACTACAAAAGATGACAAAACTAGTAACAATGTACATGATAAATTACGCATTGTTCAATTTCTTCGTTGTTTATAATCAACAAAAAGCAACAAAGTAAAATATAAGAAATTTTTATATAAAGTAGTTTGCAATGGGTTACTGATTCTGTAGGAACCAAAGATAACAATCAAGAGCCAGGACCCTCTACTTTCAGAAAAAGGGCACCTAAACAAGATCCACTAAGAAAATTGTCAATAGATATGAAAAAACAAATTCTAGAAAAAATTGTTGGAACCGGAAAGAAAAAATTTGCTCAAAGACACTTGACTGTGTGCATCTCAAAAAGTGTGAAGTGAAACTTGTTTTACGTGTAAATTTTGCGGCGTACCTCTTCGTAAATGTTTTAAGTGCTATCACACTATAAAACATCATTAGTGTTCATTATTTACTTCATTAAGTTATTTGTTTATTGAAAAATTTTGGTAATAAATAAATATTGACGAAAATTATATAAATTTTTCCATTTTTTTGTACTTTCAACTGTATATTCTATATTCATTTATACAAAAAGTGCCTATCTTTCATAATAACGATCTTTCATAATAACATAATAATGATACATTCTAAGTTGAGAAAATCAGTTTCATAAAAAAATATAAAGTAATTTTCAATTTATAGTGATTTTACGTAACAACAAAATTCGCGAGGATTTTTCAAAAAACCAAAAGCTCCTGCCTTAACGCACTGACACGAAGCGCCAAAAAACAATGTGTTAATTTTTTTTTGCCACCTACAACTCCCTGTCAGAATGAGTTTTCAGCATCACATTTTACATAAATGAGGCAGGACCAGCCTTTAATAGGAAGTTCAGTCACCTCAGTAGAAGAGCTCAGAAGTTCTCAGTAAAGCATGTTCTGCCTTTGGGCCACATCATTGCTTTAAACCTACCTTACTATGTTCGACCATAGTCTTAAATGCCTGTTGTTAGTATCTGACTGTGAGGTTTAATTAAGGGCTAACTTGGTTAGTTATTTCTGCACAACTTTGGCTTAGTTAGTTAGAATTAAGTTAGTTTCTTATTTTTTGTCTTAAGTTACAGCCCAAATGGAGGCTTTCCTGTAAACCTGAGAGGGGCCAACTGTATTATTTTTTTAGCGGAATAAAACGGGATTTCAACCCTTCTTTGGGCTTTGTTTTCATTAGTTGTAAGAAGAACAGTGAATAATCACTACACTCTTCTCCGAGATTCTAGTTGCCAAGGGAACATAATTTAACTCGAACTTTATAAGGTTTAACCTTCTGTAGATATGGCTGTCTTAGAGGTTCAATATCTATATTTATTTCTTTTCTAAAATAATATAAAATTTCAAAGTGGCTTCACCACACTTTCAAAAGTAGGTTTCCATAGTAAATGATCAATATTAGGAGTTTTACTTTATTACATAAAAGTTATGACAGAGCTTTTTCAAGAAAATGTATCCAAAGTTCATTTTTTAACAAATTTTTCTCAAAATAACAATTTTATAGACTGTAATTTTAACATGAAGTCAAAGCTATTTTAAACATTTAATCCTGAAAAGGATCTTTTACTTTGAATGAAAAAGAACTTTAAAAAAACTGATAAAAGAATGGTAACATTTGACAATGTACAAAAAACAAAGCACAAATTAATACGTGAATTGACATTCATTTGGTCACTGAGCATTTATAGTGAATGAAAGCCACACTAAAATAGTTTTAAATGCTAGTGCATAGCTAATTTTTTATCATGTCATAATTATAATTAAAACCTAATATAATTTAAAACAGTCAAAATACAGAATAGCATCCTGTAGGATCTGATTCTGATAGCATAATACTTGCAACATAAATTAGTGTATAAAGTGAATATAAATGTCAAAGAGATAAGTTTTTTTTTAAACAAAACTTTGTAATTTAACTACATTATAATACCTTTAAAGAATGAATTCATGTAAATTTTATTTTACATTTAACTCAGCTGCAACTACTTGTTCCTTCAGTATCACTTACACATTATGACAACAATTAATAAAAGAAACATATATAATAATATTGATAATTGTTAACTTTCAGAATAAATACTACATTTTTCAGAAATGTGCATTTAGAGGCGAGTTGAATGTAAAGCAATATAAAAATGATCTTATTAATAAGATATCCTCATCCTTTCATAAATGATGACACATTTAGAAAAATAAATACATAAATCAGAAATGATGGAGATGATTATTTCCAAGCAGTTGTGAAAATTTTAAAAATAAATTACAAATAGAAATTTAAAAAATAATAATATGCTAATGCATTAAGATAAAATTATGATAAACTTTAAAAAATGTATTAAAATTTGTAGAGCAAATATCCACACATTAGAATTTATTTGTAGAAGTTAATTATATAACACCAAGACTTTTCTGATTTTATCAGATTTTACTTGATTACTATATGCGAAATTTAAAACCATTTTTTATTAAAACTAATAACTTCAACCTCAAATTTTCTAAAGAAGCTTAAAGAAAACTGCATAAAAAATGTGTATTTGATTAAGCATTAAAATATAAGCTGTTAGATAAGAGATTAGAATTAATACCTTACCAGTTGCTGCAAGACACACTCCAGTAAGCAGCACGAAAAACAAAAGAGATGTTATTCAATTGTAATTTATTAAATCCTCAAACATTTAAGTTAATGAATAATATTTTCAATGGCCTCATTCTACATTTTAATTTTATTATAGAAGTATAAGAAATATTCATTAAAATGAATTTTGTAAATTTAATTTAATAAAAAGAAATGAACAAAAACTGATCTATCAATTAGAAGAAACTTTTCAGATTTAAGTATGACTGACCCAAATTTTGAATCTAAAAAATAAGATTTGGATTTAAAAAAAAAAAAAAAATTCTTGGCATAAGTTACTTATAAGTGTTAAGAAAAAAGAAAAAAATTACAAATCTATAAAAATCTACCATAGTACATACTGGAGTAGTTTCAAATGACTTGTAATAGAGGTCATATTCATCTGCCTGCATAACATCGTAAAATGAAGCTGTTATTAAAAAGCAAACTAGAATAAAGCATCATTTGTTAGTAAATACTGTGAATGCACACTCATGCAGCATGCAGAGAAGATCTAAACTAAAAAGGATATGATAGCAAAACATATTAGAACATATATTCATGCTATAACCATATTTAAACAAATGTAAAGGCAAAATAAAAAGAATTCTATTCAAGAAGAAATGCTCAAAGATGGAAAATATCAGCAACTGGTTACCATAAAAGATGATAGAATAAATTTTAACAGGCATTTCATTTTAGAGTTTTCAAGTCGCAGAAAAATCAAATTGTTGATGCAAAGACAATGTACATGACGGGATAGATCCATAAATAAAAAAATGAATGAAGTTGTCAATGTGTATTACATACAAAGATTAACATCTAAACATAAACTTAAACAGGAAGGTCTTGTCAGCTCCAGCAGATTATAATCAGAGTTTATTTCCTCCTGTATTATTATATAATACCTATTAAAAGTACTTATAATATCTATTTGAATTCAACACAGAATATTTCTTAAAATATGTCTACAGAGAAGAAATATGCTAGCTTACATGACAAAAGACAAAAAAAATAATAAAGACAAATGGTAGGAAGTACAATTCCCAATAACAATAACCTAGAATGCTATGAAAAAGGAATTACAAAAATAAGTGCCTTAATTTACAGTAAGAATTACAGCAGTGGTACTATGGGTTACATATTGTAGCACCTGCACACCCAGGTAAAACATCAAACAGTGTATGTAAAGTGATATTTGAATAGCATATATAAAATAAGTAGTGATCACATTGGAACTGCTAAAGGGAGGCAATATTGAGCATTTCCAGGCTGCTGTTGGCAAAGGGAAGCAGTATTAAGCACTTTCAGGCTACTGTTGCCTTTATTTAACAAGTTTTTTGTAATTTGTGAATGATTTGCTGTGTTATTTCTCAGCCTCTCCACATATAAACAATACTAATGAGTCAAAAGATAGAACAGCACACAAGTGTATTAAGTTCAATGGTTAGATTATGATAACATACTGATTTTCAAGTCTTTTATAAGCAATAAAATCTTTACTAAAAACTTGCAGGCTCGAAAAGTATCTACTGCTCTCTTGGAACAAGTATTTATTGCTAAACAAAGGGTAAAGCCATTAAGCATCAAAGTCTAAAATGGACTGTTATATAATTAGAGATATTCTTAAATTTTAATGAGCTCTGGTGAAAATAAAGCCTTGTAAACCTTCAAAATTGCTGATGTTCTGTATGTAAGCTCTTTCAAGATTTGATATGACTTGCAGCCAGTTTTCAGTGTGCTGCCAATCATGATATAGTGGCAGACCTTACATTTAACAAGTAGAACAGATTACTTATTTTGCCACTAATAAACTCCCTCCAGCATGAGTGTCACTACTTTATTTTTGTACATTTTCTGTAGAAGGTAATTATTAGATTCATTCATATGTATAAAGGATTTTTTAGAAATAATTTCAGTTTTAATGGAACTACCTTCTGCACTTCCATAAGAATTTAACATAATGTAATACTTCAAAACTAGTAATGTTAGCTTATCCTACCACTGAGCTGTTCATTTGATTTGGATAATGCAAGAATTTTCTCAAAATACAATGTTATTTTATAAAACTACATTTTACTACTTAAAGAAATCACTATAACCACTTTCAGCTGCTAGCAAAATTTAGTTTAAATATATTTGTTATAAATTATCTCAAGCTTCTTTCTATTTGTCTTATTCTTAATAATTCAGAAAATGATATGCAACTATAAAATAATATGATGGGAAAATTGTTTATAAAACAAATATTTTACACTACTTTAATTACTATAGTTTTAATTATTTAACTTGAAATTTACTATAGATATATTCATAAAGTATAACTAATGACTAATATGCAGTTATATTTATCACATATAACTAATGACTTTTTAAATCTATTAATGTTTCAAATTTTCCTGTTTACTGTATTTGCAACAACAATTTTATGAAAAAAAGCTTCACAGAAAATAAAGCTTAGATAATTTTAAAGAGAAAATCCAAAAGGAAAGAGACCCAGATCATGCAAAAAACCACAACATGTAGCTCGAGATCTAAACACCAAGCAGTAACACCAAAGACCTGACAGAGCAATACATTTTTAAGATACATCTCCCACAAAAAGAACACATCTGAAAAAAATTTACATTTTTCTTACTTTTCTTACAGAAGAAGTTCTACCTACTCTTGCTCTTTCTTCTTGCTGCTATGCCGGAGATAGAAGATGCCATGAGAAGAAACAAGATGGAGAATGTGCAACCAGGTAAGCAGTTTAAGGTGCAAAATAGGAAGTTATGCATGCAGGAACAAAGAAATTGATACAAAAAAAAAAAAAGTTAAACATTTGCAAAGTGCAATGGTTCACTGATATTTAAGTAGTTAACATTATTAAATAAATATTTAAGCAACATAAATATTCTAAATAATACTCACAGGCTAAATACAGCAATATAAATCAGCATAATATTAAGCATTTTAGGAAAAAGACCTAACACATTAAGAAAAGACCTACACATCCTTCTACTAAATTAAATTATTAACAATGAAGCTAATTATAAAATTTGAAATGAAACTCCGCCAAATCAGTTACTTTTAAGTACTAAAAACACTAACAGGACAGTTCAGGGAGAAAAATATTTTAACTAGTCTATCTAAATTTAAAATAATAAAATACAAATTTAAAAGGCAAACTGCATATTTGAAAATCATGAATCACTTTTTAGAATATTTCAAATGTCTATATATAATTTATTAAAGTCTAGTTATCGAAATTTCAAAAATACAGCATACAAATTTTAAACTGCACAAACTAAATTAATCTGCACTAACATGTATCAGAAACATGCATGTTGAACTGGTGTTTGGCAGAGTATAATCACTTTTGGCTTTTGTGTCAGTAATTATACCAACCAACCATACATGCTAAATTTATTTAAAATTGCATGTTATGCAACATTAAAAACAGTACAATACATGCATACAACAACAGTCAGAAACAGACAAATGAAATATCTTACAGGCACAATTAAAATGAAAATCTAATAAATCAAAACATTTTAAATTTGCAAGCAAAGAGGGAAATTATTTTATTTTTAAATGAAAGGAAAGTAAAACTGATACAAAACTGCAGAATTCATATTTGTGTTACTGAATAGATTACTCACATTTTCTTATGAATCAAAAACAATTTTGTGCAAGAACTTTTATTTCAAACAGATATATTTTCCCTCAGCTACTTTTATATATATATATATATATAAATGGCAATACAAAATCACAAACCTGTAGGCTATTAAAGAAAATTTTTTTTAAGTTCTCTGAGAAAACAATGAGTGATTTTAAAACTATCTTTAAGGAAAATATAATAAATGATTGACTATTCAGAATAATTTTAACATGCATTAAAAGGAGATTAGAACAATGCTAGAGAATTTAATAAAATTTAACACAATTATACACCTTTGAAGAAATGAAAATTTCCAAGTAAGCCTCAGATACTCTTTAGATAAAAAAATTAGTGCAAAACGCACATTAGTTCAAAAAAGCTTTCAAAAAGTTCATTAGTTCCTAGTTCAGCATTTATAATCTAAATTTGAAATTATTTTAAGGAAAATTAAAATTAGTTTACTTTCTGTTTCAAGCATAAAGAAATCTGTACTTCCTGATAAGTCTGCATGTTCCTATTTGTTTTTTCTTTTCACTACTTCTATCTCTACATATAATAAATGAAAGAGTCTGTCTGTGTGTGTGTCAGTGTGTCTTTCGTTCGTGCTGCGCGTAAGCTAATATACCCACAGCTACGAAATTTGGTACACAGGTGCATCTAGACAAGAGCCAGTGCACCTCAAAGCGATTTTTTCGAAATTCGAATTCGAATTTTTTAATTTTATGTTTTTTGACAAAATCGCGTCATTTTGAGACATAATGGGCTATAGGAAAGCGAGATTTTACATTACACACTCCATTTTCACATCGTCATGAAACATAGGCACTTAGCTATTTTACGAACTTAAAATAAATTTTGTGTTTCAGTAAATCGATTAAATACGAATTTATTTTAACAAAGTGAGCTTAACACCTTTTCAACGGATTTTTTCTAAAAAAGTTTATTTTTAAAAATGTACAGTTTATTTTTCTTTGATTTTTGGACACGTTAAACTTTCATCCTTGCGACTGCTTTTACAAAAAGGATTTTGAAAAAATGATAATATTTTGTATTTTTAAAAAAAATTTTAAATGAAGCTTCCGAGTACACTTCTCACATCTTTAAAAATGTGATTTTGGCAACAATTTTCCTTTGTTATTGTTGTCATAGATTTTTGATGAAATCGCTTCATTTTGAATAGTTTCATTCTTTTAAAATATGGGTTTGGCAACAATTTTTCATCATATTTCTTATGTAACTGTTTTTAAGAGATTGGCATATTTCATTGTCAATTTTTTATATATGTAATACACTTTTTTTTTTTAATAAAGTTGTTTTGCAGAGTAAAATTCTGAACAGAATTTTTTGAGTTTCTTTCATGATATTTTTTGCTTATTTCACTATTTGTAAGATATTGAAAAGTTTTGCATGATTTTTTTTTCTTCAACGGAAAGTTGGTTAAGTTTTTATTAGGATAATTAATATTTGTATTAAGGGATATAGCTTATTCCATTGCACTTTTTTTATCTTGAAAATATAAGATAAAATATCATTAATTATATTTTGCTTTTTAGAATTTTTTGTTTTTTGTATTCTTTTATGTTATTTATTGCTCATTTCACTGTCTTTAAGCTATTGAAAAGTTTCGAGTGATTTTTTTTAGGAAACACAGTTCTTATCCTCCTTTATACCATTTGAGTTCTTATGATTTTGCAAAGGGAAGTTGGTTAATTTATTTATTAGGATAATTAATATTTGTATTAAAGGATATTGCTTATTTCATTGTAATTTTGTTATAAGTAATAATTTTTTTTATGAAGTTGTTCTGCAGAGTAAAATTCTAAGCAGTTTTTAAATTTAACGTTTGGTGTTCCCGTCAGCCATTTTTCCGGTACATTTAAAAGCCAGACAAAGGCTGGCAGCAAAGCTGCTAGTTTCGAATAAAATAGATTAAACTTCAAAGCTATGTAAAATTTTATTTAGTTCATTTTTAAAATATTAATTCTTTGATTTCAGACCAAAAAATAATTAATTTTTTAAAACATACATAATTCCTATTCATATAAATAATGTATCAACATTTATCATCAAAGTGTTAAAATAAGTTCCCAAAATAAATTAAAAGACATATCATTTTAAAATGCTCAGAAGGACTTTCAAGCAAGCAGACACAAAGAAGATATATTAATGGAACTCAAATAAAACACTTACTAAAGCAAATTTCATAAGAAATTTAGAAATGCAGAAAATCTGCATTTGAAAAAATTAATCCAATAAATATGAATATTAATAGCAGTGCTCTGAATTATACAATGAATTCTGCATTTTTCATTAATTTTACAATGAATGGTTCAAGTCTTATTTTACATCATCATAAACTACAACTCAAACACTAACAAAGAATTATTTACACAATTACTATTACTACATACGCCTCTTGTCATTCTCCTAGATTGCTTTCTCCGCCGAACACTTCCCTGAGAATGCTGAGAACTTTGCTTTGAATCCACTCGTGACATGCAAGGTTCATATTTTGATTCGTCAACAGCCTAAAATAGTTTTTATAAACTGAACAGTCACTACACTGTAAAAATTCAATGCCATCAACAATTTCAAAACTCAAGACTGAATTAAGTAAGCAAATCAGAAATCATGTTATATATTTTTTTTTTTTTCAATATTAATTTCAAAACTGATATGCAAAAAGAGAATTAGATAACTTTTGCAACCTTCTTTAACAGAAGAATATGCACTTACAAAAGAAAGTTTTTTTAATTTCTTTTCAGAAAGACCACTGATTCAATAAGAAACAGATAACTATGTTTAATAACAACAATGAATAAATTTGCATATGTGTATATTTATTCATTTGTATGTATGAAATGTATGTATAATGTTCATGTAATTACTATAAAAATATTTACAGCCTCATCTGAAATTAACTGCTGTTTCAATATTCTGAATTTTTATATAATTTTTTGCCAATTTGCGCAAATTTAAAAAAAAAAAAAAAAAAAAAGTGTAATCATAATACATACTTTTTCAGAAATAAATCAAAGAAAAATCTACAAATGATATGCCATACATTTAAAAAAGTAAGAGTACATGATGTACATTCGTACTTTTGATTCATTTATCTTTTAATATAATTGGAGAATGCTCATGTGTGAAATAAGTATGGCATTTCTATACTAGCATTACTAAACTGTTATTTAACTAGCACTTCCTACATAAAATTTGAGATACTCATATTAGTTTGTGATTTTTTATATTATTATACATAACGAGCAAACTTACAATTTTCCCTGCATACAAGATCTAATTTCTTTTTGTGTAGTTCTAGATGGGTAGCTTCAGGAACTACCTGATAACGAAGCTGCACAACTATCAATTGAAAGCAAATTCAAATGCAAAACAAGTTGCATATTATTTTCGTCTTTCCCTAGGATCTGGGCGCTTTCAAATCGTTATTGATGAAAGCCATTAGTGATAATTTGGCTGTCATACTAATTAAGAAATAAAGTTTTCAAGTCTCTGGAGGAGAGCCTGTGACAAAGGTAGCTAATACAAAGAGATGGGTTGCTAGGACCCTCCTGTAATTCATTAGATGTCTATGTAAGGAGATCCAAAAATTGTTTTGTATTATTATCACATGTCAGATATTTTCCTATACATGTAAAGGAATTAGGGTAAAGATTAATAATGCTACTTTCTTCAGTGTTATACTACTATTGTAGTATAACACTGCAGAAAGGAGAATTAATTAGATAATTAATTTATTCATTGCTCTCTTGTAGTATAACACTGAAGAAAGGAGAATTAGATGGACAAAGAGGAGAAACACTTCAGCAAATGTAGCTTTAAAAAAGACATGTTTGCAGCTTACATATATTTAGTCAAACAATTTTGTTAATGAAATTTCCGATATAAATGTTTGTTTTTAATATTAGACAACCTATTTTTTATGCTCAAGAATGGTTTATTTTATTATTTTTGTAAATTTTTGAATAATTTACATTTGTTAACTAAATAAATTATGGTGTAAAATTATCATCTTTTCATTTTCTATGTTTACCTATTATGCCGTTTGTCTTTAACTTAACCAGTCATTTATTCATTTCTTAAAAATACTAAATAATAATAATAATAATAATGATAAAGAAACCTTAGACTAATGCTAATTTTCATATAAAATTCAAAATAAATTTTACACAAAATCTGCTAACCTAGGGCTTCTTTCTTTAATCCTATAATTTGCATGTTTCCTTACACTTTACACGACGTATTTCTTTTCTGCATAGATTTACTTAGTTGTTCCCGATACATCCCTGGTGAAAGGAAAATCTCATAAAAATCTGATCCCTCAAAGCAGCAAAGCTGGATTAAAAACCAACTGATGCCAGCAATGAGGCTCCAGTTTTCACTTTTTGATGACTAAAAACACAGAAAAAGAATAAACCAACCAGCTACAGTAATGACGAAACATGAAACATTTTTATGTTAACCTTGCAGTTACAGTTGGAAATATGGGTAAACGGTTGGAGAGTAAATGTAAGTTCATTTAGAATCGCCCCAGTGTCAATTAAATTAGAGGTAATCCAACTCTACATCCAGAACGTGTATACTGGGAAACATCTCGTTTCTCAGATCCAGGCACAGGTGATGATGCAGTGACAACAGTCACAAGGGGTGAAGTTACAGATGCCTTTGAATGGAGTGTGATTTAAGTATAAGTTTTGACAGCTTCGGGTGCAAAGATAAAGACTGGTTTAAGACAATCAAGGTTCACCACAGTTTCTTTGTGTCCAATAAATATCCAATAGTTCTTGGATGTGTGACACAGAATAGTCAGACATACAGGCATGCAATTAGCGAGTTCACTTAGTGCCACCGCAAGGCCCATGCCAACCTTATAGGAGACAGCATGACTTTGCCTAGTCTCATCCCAAAATTTAAGAAAAATCCCCCCCCCTTGAGGTTGGATCCAAAGGTCTCCCACCTATCTTCTATTACTGCCAAACTGCTCAAAAGGAGCCAGAAATACAAAATATTTTACCAATAGCACGAAATTTGAAAGTTACAAAGCAAATATATAATGATATAATAGGAATAATGATCAACAATATAATTTTCTACGTAAAGGATTAGTAACTAGACAGAGATATCAAAATGAGGTCTTATAATCCTACGTAAATGATTAGTAACTAGACAGAGATATCAAAATGAGGTCTTATAATCCTATGTAAAACATTTTAGAGTAACATTACTAACATTTTCTTTCTTTTTATAGATAAAATGTGTACACATGTTGAGAAAAAATTACATAATGAATTTCTTACAATTGAAGGAGTTAAACCTGATTTAAATCTTATACAAAACTTATGGAATGGCTTTGGAACGGCTGTTACCATGATAGAAGTCTTCTTCTACATATCTCAATGACTTGAAGATCATAGTTGAGAAACAGAATTGATTTAACCAACTTTTGTTAACTACCTTATTGAGGGTATAAAATCCCACTGCAATACATGAGTATGAATTACAGGAGATAATATTTCCTATGAATGTCAGAATTCTTCTTTTGTTTCCAATATATTCACATTTTTTAAAATTTAATTCTCATATATTATTTCAATTATTTTTCTAATTATTAATAAAACTATCCTATGTTTCCATATTTTTATTTTTCCAGTTTTTTTTTCCTTATTCCATATTACTTATTTTTCATAATTCCATATTTTATTTTTTAATTTGTATTTTTTCGTAATGGTGCTGGTTATTTATCAATAAATTCACTCAGTTTTATTTAAAAAATTTTTAGAAATCTTTTTTTTTTTTTTTCCCCTGCAAGTAAAGAAAGTTTTAAGCATATAAGAATACAGTACCTATTAACTATAATTTTTAGCATATCAATTAGAAAGCATACAAATTATGTGGATAATTTGTTATTTTCAAATTTATTTTAAAAGAATTTTTATGATTCAGAGCATTAGAAAAAGTACACTTACTGGTGAAATCAACTGCTTCCTTATTATCAAGGATAATAAACAATAAAGACCAAGAATAAAAAAAGGACTTGCATAAACTGTCCAAGCTTGTGTATGGAAGACTAATGTTCGTGCATCATTAGTACAGTTTTGTTCCACAAACTCAGGAAGACCAAGTAATCTAAAAATCATTTTAAATTAATGTTAAAATTTTTCAGACAGTAAATATATCCTATCTTTAAAATTTAATCCATTAAAGAAAAACATTTTAAATGTCTTTAAAATACAACTTATTGTTATCAAATAAAAATTTTTACAAACTAAGGGGATAGAAATAACATGAAATTAGTAATATGCTAATGATAAAAAAAGCTAAACTAAAAATATGTTATTCAAGTATTTTACATACCTTGCTGTTAAACTCTCTGGTGGAAGAAATTCTTGTACATAATCAACTTGATATAAATACAGAATGACAAAATGAATAGCACAATAGATTAAAAGTGGAATTTTTGTTTGGAGATATTTTCTACCAATTTTTTTATAACATGAAAGCCATGTGCAAACAATTAGAAAAGTCAAAAAATAAACTGCAGATGTCAATGAAGGGTGCATGATACCTGCACTAGCTAAAAAGAATAAAACAAATGCTTCTCCTGTCCAATACAACACTTCTGATCTTCTCTTTTTACGCCGTCTTACTGGCTTTCTACTTACATCACCATCAGCAAGTTCTTGAGTTTCTGGTGATTGTTGAGCATTTTGAAGTTTTTCACAGGAAATAAATACAGCTACAGATGAAAATAACACAAGAAAGTCTAATCCAATTAATCGCACAGCATCTAGGGCTTTAACTTTGTCTAAACGATGAAAACCAAACACAGCAAATAATCTGCCTTTCCATTCACCTGTAAATGAATCAATTATTTTACTTAATTACCAACAAATATTCAAAGCAAACATTTGAAGGAACTGAATGATAACACAGTGCATTTTACATCTTTTTTTTCAGTAAAAGGTGCAGTGCAAGAGTTATTATAAAATGAGCCTATGAATACTCTTGTACTGATTCATCTTATAATAACTCTTAAAAAGGAAGTCTGCAAACTTGAACTCTAAACAATTTTTAAATTATACAAAATGAAAATTTTTGGAGCATTGACAGTGAAGATGCCAAAGTAGATTCATGATAACGCTTTCAAGATTATTTTTACTGAAGTGCATTTCATTAAATAATAATTCAATAAAGCAACACATGCATGGATTTTGGATACTAATAAAAATGTAATTGACAATAAAACAGAAATTTTAGGTACAATGTTAATAGCACAGAAGCAAGTCGAGAGAAGAATGTGAGAATTACGATATAGATACTAGATTAAGAATAATAAAGCTATGGTTCTGCTTTATTTCTATTGGTTGATTATAGATTTGATTTGCAATATTAACATTTTTATAAGCTAAAAGATTTTAGTTTCAATTTCCCATTATGTAAGCATGAGTCATAAGTGTTATATAGGAATCACATGACAGGCATTAATTTTTAAATGATGCATCAGAGAGATTTATCATAAGTAACCTGTGTGTGTGTATATATATATATACATATATATATATATATACACACACACACGCAGGTTATGTTTTAAGTAAGGTCCATTTGTGAATATTATTTGAAATTTTGCATATGAATAAGAATAAGTGTGTGTGCAGTGTCCAAGCATTCTTTCTGTAGAAACTGAAACTGGTTTTCTTTGTGTGGCTAATTGTGAAACACGCATCTTGGAAATTATCGTGAGAGAAGAAAGTAACATTAATTTGAATAATTAAGAATTATTAAGAATTATTTAATAGAAACTTTGACCGTGGATCTGTTGAAGATGGTTTTTAGTTGTGGATTTCTTATGAGATTTGGATGATCTGGCATTTAGTTTGGAATAAATAGGCAATGCAATTAAGAAACTGCATAATCATAGTGCTCCACAATCAGATGGGATCATGGTTACAAAAGTAAAATTTTTATTTTAGAAATATCCTGATTTCTTTGTGTTATTATACAATAAATGTCTTGAATTATGTCAGTTTCCTAAAGTGAAGAAAGTTTCTAGAGTTTTGTTCATTCCAACATCTAGTGGGTCAGCCAGACTTGTATGTTTGTTAAAATTTTGTCTAAAGGTTTTGGATATACTTCTTTACTTGCAAATAGAATTTTCTTGATGAATAATTTTGTATCATCAAAATAATATGGATTCACACCAGACTATTCCATGGAAAATACTCTTCAAGGACATTATTAGCTAACAAAAATCTGAATGCCATGCAGATGTTGTCTCGTTTAACATCTTGGAAACCTCTGACTGTATTAGATGAACATCTTTGCTCTCTATCCTTAGAGATTTGGAAATCCCCAAAATATTTAACAGAATCTTTATTATTTTAATGAAAGGAAAGTTACAGATTTAATAAAGGATATTTGTATTAAAAGAATGGTTTACAAAGAATGAATTCTTTAGAAAAATTGGAGAATTTATTTTCATTTGCTGTAAGAGATCTAAGACTATTGACTGAAAAAGAGAAACTGAGATTCAATTTAGAAAAAACTTATTTATTTTACTCCAAAGATTAAAAAACACTAAAGCAATACAGCTAAAATATAAAGGTGTTAGACGTTGAAACATTAAATATTTATTTATTTATTTATTTTTTTACTGTAAACTGAATTTGGAATACCATTTTAATTATATTTATATAAGAACAATCTCCGTTCTGATGTACTGTAAAAGATTTCTCAGCTGAGTCACTAGCATCGAAAATTAACATTATTAGATTAATTTATAAAGCAGTTATTATTCCCATTATATTATATGGTGTTGGTGCTTGGAGTTCCAGAGCCACAGGCTTGCAACAAATCAGAAATAAATTAGATACAATACAGCAATCCTGGCTGCTACTTTTGACTAGATGTTTCAAAACTGTCTCAAGAGAAGTCATTTGCATATTGGCCACTACGCCCTCTCCATATTTTTATTGTTTTTATTATGATTGATTTAAATTACATTAATAAAATATTGATTTTATTACCTAACAGAGATTTTATGCCACATTTTTTAAGTTTTTAACAAACCTTATGAATCTTGCATTAAGAAAAGGAGTGGGATATCAAAGATAAAATGTTTGTGCAGGAGAAATGGATTATTTACAGACGGTTTGGAATCTGACAATGGAACTGGTGCAGCATATGTAGCTTATTTGTATCATACAGAAATGTGTATTGTGTATGTGGTTTATTTGTATGGTATATAAATACATGACAAAATACACTTTAATCTTACAATTTGGTTTATCAAGCCAAATTGGTTGCTATCATATTTGCACTTAAATGGATAGAAAAAAAAGCTGACTGTAAAATAAAAAGCGTAGATAATATATAGAGTGAGTGCATTAAGAAAGAGATAAATAGTGCTACTAGCTGCTATTTAGCATATCAAATGTTGTATGATCTTAAATTTACTTAGTTCGAAAACAAGTATGCTAATACTTGCGCATAGCTCAAGTAGACAATAATATTTTACTAAAGAATATAGATTATATTATTCCTAATATAATTTTTAGTAGAAGTAGCTTAAAACGTTTTTACATTCAAGTTACTTTAAACAATTTTCGGAATTAACTTCCTACTTAGGGTTCACCTCTTTTAGATACTTCTACTAAATTAATATTAGGATAATATAATCTATATTTCTCATAATATAATAAATATCTGCAGTAAATCATAATCTCCATAAGTCAAAAATTATCTTCTTTATATTATCTTATAGGGATAATATATCTATATTTTCCTAATATAAAAAATTATGCAAAGTAAGATAATAAACTTCCCAAATGTATAAATTATTATTAACTAACTTTGCAGCAATTGCGCAAGTAATAATAACTTGTATTCGCACTAAATGGATTTAAGTTCATACAACATTTGATATGCTAAATAGCAGCTATTAGCGCTATTTATCTCTTTCTAATAATTTTATCCCTTTTTATTTTTATTTTTAGTTAAAAGTTTTAAGTCAGTTACTTAAAACAGTTTGAAATTAAACTTCCACCTATGGGTTTCACTCTTTTAGATACTTCTACTAAAATTAATATTAGGAGATAATGTAATCAACATTTATTTTTAACTAATTTAATATAATTTTAACTTCTCACAAACCTGTAAACCCTCAATTCCAAAGATTTTGGCTCCTATCGAAAAAGCTTTCAAGTTCAGTAAAGTTTCAAATTCACAGAAAGAAATGATTAGGCATCTTATCGCTCATAATCTGAAATTCAATAATAAACCTTTGAAACCAAATCAAACTGTGAGAGAAAGAGCTACAATGCGCGAAATTCATTCTAACCCAGATATTATCATTTCAAAGGCCGACAAAGGTTGGCCAGATAGTTGTCATGATAAGAACACTTACATCGATGGTGTCACTAAACTCTTAAACGAAGGCATATAATCGATCCTAAAGATCCTTCACCTTCGGACTTATCCAAAAAAAAACTGTGATCAAATCTTCGCAAATCATTTCAAGCAACTTAAAACATTCGCTTATCCCATCTGTCGCGAATTGTGCCAATTATAGCTCTTCCCAAAATTCATAAAAGTGGTATTCCTTTCCCCCTATTTGTCAAATTTAGGTACTGCCTCGTATCCATTAGCTAAATATTTAGTTTCTAGATTTTCAACTCTATTAGACAATAACATTTACAACACCATAAAAATTCAATAGAGTTTGTAAAAAAGGTTTAAAAACATTTCTAGTAATTTTACTCATGGTTTCTTTTGATGTAAAATCAATTATTCACCAATGTCCCAGTGGAGGTGCATTAAATGTCTAGAAACCAACTTGCGAATTTCATTTCTCTTGCATTGAAATTGATGAGCTAATTTCTCTCACTCAACTCTGTTTGAAACAAACACATTTTGTTTTTCCAAAATAAATATTACAAGCAAACTGAGGATTAGCCATGGGAAACCCCCTCAGTCCCATCCTGGCTGATATTACATGCATATTACAATCAAAATTGTTTGAAACTTTACACTTCCCGGCATGGTTCCGCTATGTAGGCAATACTTTTTACCCTGTTTGAGGTAATAAAGATGATTTAAATAGAGTTCTTTCAACAATGAAGTCTATTGATCTGCTATTCAGTTCACTTTGAACTTGAGACTCGCATTCTCTTCTCGTTTCTCTCGACATTCTGGTCACACGTAACACATCCAACTTCAGTACTACAGTTTACCGTAAACCTTCACAGTTTACCTTCCCCACACCGTAAATCATGTCATCCGACTAAACAAAAGTTAGCTTCATTTTATCCTATGTTTTCCGTGCTCTTCAAGTTTGCTCCTCCAAAAGAGCCCTTGATGACGAACTAAATTATTAAAGCAATAGCTATTGACAGGGGCTTGTTCACCCAACATTTTATCAAGCAGTTAAAAATTCTCATCTCAACACACTAAAAGGCCACACTCTTTTTAGGAGATTATAAAAATTCTGTGTCATTCCCTTCTTTCCATCAATTAGCTATAAAGTTGCACATATTTTGCAGAAATTTAACTTTCAGGTTGTTTAGTCTCCCATCAATAAAATTCCGAGTTCCATACCCATTCCGGATATGAATTCCTGGGGTATTTATAGGATTCCTTGCCAGTGTGGTTTAATTTACATTGGCCAAACTAAGAGAGCCTTAAAATTTCGCATCAAGGAACATAAGGCATATGTTAGAAAAAAGGAAACACAGAAGTCTTCTGTTGCTCAACATTGTTGGTCCGAAAATCACACTTTCAATTTTTCTGCTGCCAAAATTATTCAAAAAACATCTTCCATTGAAGAACTGGATTTTCAAGAGGCATTTCACATTCATAAAATCTTTCTGTTCTAGTTAACGATCCTAATTCCAATCCAAATTTGCCTTCGGCCTTTAAAGAAATTATGTTTTAGTTCTGGTTTCACCAACAGATGGCGCCACTTGCTTATTCTTGTCCAAGCTTTCTTATCTTATCTAATCATTATTTCCCATCTTGTTCATTTGCGGTTTTTCAGCTGAGGATGGTGGTTCGGTAAAACCATCGAAACTAGTCCTGTGAAAATTTTGTAAATATAATGCTGATTTTTGTTATTTGACTTCTGAATTATGCATGTATGTGTTTACACATATACATATTTCTGAACCTGCTTCTGATAACAGAAAAGTATAATTTTCTTTGTAGCAATTCTTTTTCCTCTGACACTTAATGAGCATCTTCTTCAAAATTAACACTTAAATGAGATGAAATAAATTCAGATGCATTAAAAACAGGGAAATCTAGATTTTTTACAAGGAGACTAGAAGATATTAAAAATCAGCAGTCTTTCACTTTTACTAGAACTGACAGTTCTGCAACACACTATTAAATGTTTTAATTGAAAACTTTATGCAAAAGCTCCAATTTCAAGAGCAAAAATTATCTGTTACATGCCACACTATTTTTATATGATTAATAATCTAACCACTGTGAGTACACATAAAAAAAACTGCAGATAAAAGAATATACATAAAGCACTATATCAAACATTTGTTTGTTTAGAAAATGAATGAATGAAAGTATGAAAGAATTCTAATAGTAATTCTTGATATGATAAAATAAGTTACATGAAAACTCACAATAATTTAAGAAAGAACCATAATTTCCAATACTCAGCATGACAGCTTGAAAGATTACATGGCATAAACAAAATATAATGCTGAATGCTACAACTGATTTCAAGTATCGAGGAGAAGGACCTAGAATAAAAGTTCAAATGTAAGTTTTCTATTACTGAAAATATGTAACTCTTAGAAATTAAATATATATAAAATAATGAATTTTTTAACGTCTTACAAAAAGGAGATAACTTTTATAAATTCTAAATCTACATGCTTAAAATTTGCACACATAATTAAACGGGATAAATAAGCATACTGAATGGATCAATCAACCAGCATTTACTTATATTTAATTTTTTTTTTTTTTTCCCATTTCTTAAAATACATTAAAGGACATGTCTGATTTTCAGAAAGACATAAAACTGTACCTCCAGTACTGATAGTTCTTGGTAAAATATAATATAGTATGTCAAAGATTAACTAAGAACTTTTGAAAAAGTATTATTAACTTTTTAAACATGATGAATTTTTACTCATTTTACCTAAGGTAATTTAACCCTTATCTTTTCTTTTAAAATTTAATTTTGTTATTAAGAAAAATGAATTAATTTAAAGAAAAAACTAAATTTATCAAGCATGAACATTTAACACAGTTGTGTATAATAAACTTACTTTGTTAGAAAAAAATTACTATATTTTGCCCAAAAACTTTGCTTTTTTGTGGTTTTCCCCACGCATAACGTGTGCACGAGCCAATCTCCCTTAAAACGTTCTTCATAAAGGCATCTCTCTTCTGAGGTAAATAGCTCTTTAGATAAAATGCTTTCCCATGATTAAATCAACCAAACCAAAAAAAATTACCAATCACAACATTTTCTTACAGAAAAGTCAACAGCTTTCATCTAATGCTGAATTATTTAAATCATACTCTAATAAGGTCCTTAACTTCTATTTATTTTTGCTTTCCTTAAGAGAATATTTATGATTTTAAGAAATTTTATATCTATAAACAAAATACTGGGTTGGCACATGAGTTCTGCACCCCCCCCCCACAAAAATAAATAAGAAATAAACAATAAATCAATCAATAAAGGTCTATTGGTCTTTACAACTTCTTCCTAACATTCAACTAGCTTTTCAATGCCTCGATGGTAGAAATCTCTGCCTTTGAACAGCTCAAACCAATTTCGAGCCAACTGAAGAGGCATTGCTTCTTTGCCATACACTTCACAAATCTCTACAGCAGCTTCTGTGACTTCTGGCACTTTTATTAAATGCAAAAAGCAGAAGGTGTCAAAAATGCTTTTTTCTGTTAACCTGACATTTCATTTTAATAACATGAAAAGAACAAAAATTATACCAGCATAAAAAAAAAACTATTCTATAGAGCACATAATTCTCTATTGAATAAAGTGCATTGTCAAAACATTTTATTTTTCAAGCAAAATTTTCATTTGCAAAAACACCAGGACTTACAGACCAACCCAATACTCCATACCATGGGTCACTATGAGAAATAGCAGTCCATATAACTCATTTAATTTACATGGCCGTACAGATTTGTTTTATTCACAAATTTTCAGTGAATGAAATGTGATAGCAATAATTTATGTAGGCATCAAAATGTTCTCTGCTTGAACAATGTAAATACATTTATTAAAAACAATAAACTCAAACATAAAATATAAAATGCTACAACATTATCTTATTTAATCAATGATAAACAGTAACAAATTTGCCACATAGCATAAACTGCTCTAGTTTTAGCATTTAAAAAGCTGAATGCTATTGAAAAGCACTAACTGATGTTATATTAATAATACGAACTATATACCAAAAAAGATATACAGTAAAAGTCTAACTATCCAGCATCCAACTAACTGGAAAGCTCAAGGAATTGGAATATTTAAGAATTTTAGAAAAATGTTTTTCTCCAAAAAATTTAATAAATGAGAGATTTGTAATGCCATTATACCAAGTATAATAATATCAACACATATACGTTGTAACCAAACAGCCTAATTTAGCACCAATAATGCATACGCATGAGGTCACAACACAATCATAAGAAGTTTGTTTTTGTTTAATGGTTGGTTTGATTATGGCGAAGCACTCTAGGACTCTTTGCCTGTGGGAAAAGATCCTCAATGGAGGGTTTTAAAGGAAACTGATTCATATACAACTTACACATGGGAAAAACCACTAAAAGCCCATGGCCAGGTTTCAAATCCCAGAAAGAACTACCAGTTTTCAGCAACTTTACCGAATCGGCTGCTGGTAGGCCCCCTTGGTTTAATGTAAATTCAATTATCTCGATAAGCCAGTTTAATTTTTATAAAGGAAGATATGTTCTCTATTTTCCTTTTTTTTTTTTTTTTTTTTTTTTTTTTTTTTGTCAAAATTAAAGAGAGTAATGTTTGGGATTGCATAAAGTGGAATAATTTCAAAGTTATAGGATGCAGGCATAAAAAAAAAAGCAATAACAGATAAACAATGGCAATGTAATGTGAAAAATAATATGTCCTTCACTTGTAACTTTTAACACTGCACCTCCACACTTTCACTGACATGTAGTTTAATTTAATGGCCATTTTCAAGTACTGGAAATCAAGGTTTTCAAGTACTCGAAATCAAGGTAAAATCAAGGTTTTATAATAAAAATAAAATATCATCTTTCTTGAAAAAAAGATCTACCCATTTCCTAACTTCTCAGTATATCAAACATTTTTAACATTTTTTTTTTTTAAAGCAAACAAATTAATATGCGAGTCTTCTCATGATAAGAGAATTAGAAGTGATCAATAATTGTTAATGTTTATATGAAAAAAGAAATTAGAATAGTACACGGTTTACTTGGAGCTCTTTTTGTTGCCAGCAAACTATAAATGATCGTAGTTAGGACTGTGAGACATTTGACGATGGTTTGCGCTGGTGATTTGTAATAATCTTGGACCCATATACATAATGGGAACCATAATAATATGGAAGTACTGTTAGGGATTGAGTAAAAACTGCAAATACTGCAGACTATTATTCTTAGACAAGCCTCAAGATTTTCTCGAGTGCATTAGGAACTTAGCACCATGAATTCAAGATTCTTAAAATTAACCACTATATAGCAAAATTACAGATTTTTTTAATAAAAATAACAATGAAACAACTGCAAAGCTAAATTATGATTATAATAGTTATATAAACAGAAAGAGGCCACTTGCAGTTATCATTTATTTAAATAAATTACTTTGACCTTTTTTTAAAAACTGGTTTGACAATCTGCTATTCATAGAAAAATTACTATTGCATATTGGTATTTCTTTTTTAATTCTCTACTTGTCAACTGGTTTTGCATGGTCCCTGATTTCAATTTCTCCCTCCAATTGGCTAGCAGCAGTAACATCATGTGACTACTTGTTTCTGCTGCCTTACACCAGAGTTGTATCTTCCAAGGAGTCAACTATGAACTTTTGCTCTTGCAATCTACGTCTATGAAATCTTACCATCTATATAAATTGGTATCATTCGCACGATTTACATTCGGCTTCTAACATGTTTGGAAATTGCCATCATTTTTTATCCAGGGATAGCACAACTGTGTTCAGCTCAGCCAAATAAATTTGTAGATCTGTGATTTTTCGAAAACTTTTATTTTCAAAAAATGAAAGTGTGCTAGCAACTAGAAAACATTAATTTCATGCTATGTTCTCTAGATACTGCAATCTACTAAAACAGATTATGCATTTCTGTTCATGTTAACTTCTGGTTTAATTTTGCAAAAATAATACATATCTAATTACTTAATCTTAATGATTTAGACCCTAATGATGTCATAAATTCATAAAAAGTATATACATGTAAAAATATTTGCACACTTCTTTAAATATAACTAAGACATATGATATTTGCATTAACTATAATATCTTACCAGAAAGAAGTGGATTAATTAACAGGCACACAAGGTAAATAAAGGAAAAGAAGTTGAACCTGAAAACAACAGCTGAAAAAGAAAATAAAAAGAATTACTACAAAAACATTTATTGTATAAACATATACATAACATTGTATATGAAAAATATTGCAGGAAGAAAAGCAGAAAAAGTCATAAGTATAACAAATTCACACAAAATATTTTTTAAATGCCAGAATGCTGCAATTTACAAATCTTAATAATAAGAATTTATTGATAATTTGATTGACTGGTTTATCTTTTAATTTGCATGTACTAACAATATTTTATGCATATAATTAATCAGCATGTCATATTAAAAACATTTCAGTGTAAATGAAATCTTACCATCTTGCATGTTAAAATCTTCTAGATAACAAAATCACAGAGAATATTTGTTAAAATTTACCATAGCTTGGTGAATTTTTTAATGATAAGCTGGCGGCATTTTGGCAGTGTCTTGCCTCATCTAGCGAAATTTTATTATACAGTACAAAGTCTTTAAACCGGACGTCCATAATCCGGAATGATCTATAATCCGGACCTCAAAGCTACAAACTTTCTACGCATGAGTAAACGCATAATGCGTTTACGCATGCGCATTAAATGTATAACGGACGGTATAAGCTAGACTAAAATTATCTAATTATCTATTTCAGTTAATGTTGCAGACTGCGTTGTTCCTTAATCTTCTAATTGGATCCGGCTTATTATTTTTTGCAGAGTGTTAGAGCAATTTTATAAAAAGTAAGCTTGAACTTTCGATTATGTCAAAAAGAGTTTCCGATTCTGGAGCTGCCAAAGGATCTACAAAGCGAAAGCATGTTTGGATATCCATCAAACAAAAAGTGGAATTGTTGCAAAAAATGGATAAAGGCACCCGTCTCAAAATTATGCGAGGAGTATAACATTGGAAAGTCAACTGTATATGACATAGCAAAAAGAAAAAGGAACTTTTTGAATTTTTTGTGGATTCCGACACCCCACTTGCAATAACCAACAGAAAAAGGGTTCGTTATGCTAAAAGTGACGATACGACAAAGTGATGATTGAATGGGTCCAGACAGCGTCGCAGCGACGGCGTGCCATTGACGGGACCAATGCTAATGGCTCAAGCCAAAATATTTCATGAAGAAATAAACTTAAACAGACAGTGCACATATTCGACAAGTTGGTTAACCAAATTTAAAAATCGCCATGGAATAAGACAATTAAAAATTTCAGGTGAAAAAGCTTCAGCTGATACTGAAGCTGCTGAACAACTTAAACAACTTACATTGAAAGAAATGTTTAATAAAGTAAACAAATAAATATTAAGCTTTTTTTTTTTTTTTTTTTTCAAATTTTGATACCCTTTTGACCATAATTGCTCTTTATTTCATAAATTACGCTTTCATATTTTTAATTTTATAATTTCTGCATGCCATCTAACCAGATTTAAATTGATGATCTATAATCCAGAAAAACTCCTAATCCGGAATCGCCGAAGTCCCGACGAGTACGGATTAAAAACTTTGTACTGTATTATTTGACGAAAGAAAATTCTAAACATAAAAGCAATCTAAAATGATAATTCCAGATCTCCCCCCCCCCCTCTAGACCAGACTTTTTCCTTTCTTCTTTTCCTCTTTTTTCCCCTTTTTTAATCTCCCCTTCTACTAAGATGAAATTTAACTTGCATTTTTCACGTCTGGAAAACCCGTGTCTTATGACATACATTAAATTTATATATAGCATTGTTCTAACATAGAAATTTTAACACATAATCGGACTTCTTCTAAAATAACGTACCTATTTTTTTCCATATTTCGATTCTGCGACTTAAATTATACCAAAGTTTTGACATTAGCTTTCAAAATTTTAGCTACTCTCACTGTTAACTGAATTTGGTATACATTTATTACTACCTCTTTTTTATTGAACATTCTTGATTCTTTCTTTCGCCATTCGAAATTTAGCTTCAGTGCAAATAAAATTCGCAGATATTTTCTGATTTATTTTTTTAATTAGTATTTTTTAGTAATTTTTATAAATTTTTCGAAAACCTTTTGAATTATAACCCATAAAACTTTTACCATCACCTTAAAGTAGATGTATTTCTAGGCATAGCTGCAAAAAATTTTGAATTTTTTATTCAAAATTTCCCAAGATATACTTGAATTTATGTGTTGGCACGCTTTGAAATTCGAAATCGTTGTTCTAAGCGATGATAACGCCAAATGTGGTTTACGCACTTTGTTAAAATTATTTGAAAGAATGAAGTAATCACTTTTTTTCTTCCGTTAGTGCACAATGAAAGGGAAAGTAAAATGAGTTATTATAAATTAAGAACTTCGCCAAGTGAATTATTCTTTGCGCAAACTGAAAAAAGTGTGCCAAGTGTAATTTTTGAATATCTCGGTAAGTTTCTCAAATTTAAAAAATTTAATATTCAGGCATAATTTGAGTCGTAGGATCGTAATATAGAAAAAAATCACATGTAATTTCAGAAAAGGTTCGATTATCTGTCAAAATACCTATGTTAGAACAATGCTAAACATAAATTTAATATATATCTTAAGTCGTGCTTTCGAACCACGAAAAATACAAATTAAATTTCGACATTTTGGCCCAGTAGAACAGGAGATATAGAACCGTCACCCCCCTTTTTGTGTGTGTGGGTGGGTGGACAGACATCCCTTCATTGAAAATGGTTCAATTGCAAGAACAGCACCAGAATGCTAGCATATAAAAAAATGTTCCCAGCATTTGATGTTTTTATATTTGCCCCAAACTTAATAAATAAAGCAATTTTCATATCCTCATATGATATTCGTGTTAAGTGCACCTACTCATATGAGTATGAGGCACTTACACGAATCCCATTTAAATGCATAAACTACAGTACATATTTTCCGAATACCAAAAGTATTTTGTGCATAACCCAAAATACTAATATGCGAAAGCGTAATACGGTGATACCAACTACCAGGCATAAATTATTCTGCCACTCAACCACCAGTCATGTACAGAACACACTCAGATAAATTGAAGACACCCCATAGAGTATCAAGCACATAATGACTTCTAATTTTCCGAATGGCCTACCAAACTCCATTCCAGCTAAAATAAAACCCCACGCCTACTGGTGATGGATGGAAGCAGAATAAAGCCAGTAAATTGTTGGTTTTACTTTACCGTATCCAACAAGAGAACAGGAAGTACTTTCTCTTTTAACATTTCTCAGAGAAATCAATAGTTAATGTGTGCTCTTGGGGATATTATACTGCGTGGGAAAATCAGGCGTAACAGTATTGCATTCCTAATCAGATTTAGATTATGACTATTAATAGAAATTTGCTCTGATGCTACAGAAACAATTTTTTTTGAAAATGTTTGTATGTTGAATGTATATATATATCATAAAATAATCCAAAAAAAAAAGAGTTCAAAAAGAAATAATTTTTTAATAGATTAGACTATCTGAGTAAAAATTTGTGTAGTGGGAAAAAAAAAAATTAAGCCTGAGATGTAAACTTATCTTTTGTCCTAAAGCAAGAAACATGTAAGAAATGGTGTAATCAATTAACTTAAAGAATGATAAAAAATAAAAGAAATACAATCATCCTTTGTTTTAATGTTTCAAACAGTAAGTTTCAAAGGGTGACTATTAATAGAAATTTGCTCTCATGCTATAATTTTTTTTTTTTTTTAGTTTGTATGCTGCACGTATGTATATATACAATTTAAGTTCAAAAAGAAATAATTTTTTAAATAGCTTAGCCTATCTGAAGAAAAATTTGTGGAGTGAAAAAAAAAAAAAATTTAAACCTGAGATGTAAACTTATCTTTTGTTCTGAAAGCAAGAAAAAGGTAAGAATTGATGTAATCAATTAACTTAAAGAATAATAAAAAAATAAAAGAAACACAAAATACAATCATCCCTTGTTTAATGTTTCAAACAGAACATTTCAAGGATTAATATTTAAAACGTATTAATAATAAATATTAAACCTTGTTTAATGTTTCAACAACACGTATTTCGTTCTTCTCGATATTATATGACTCAAACCGATGTAAATTAATTTCTCTTTTTTGTAGAATTATCTTTTGAATAGTTCTATAATGTCAAAGAACTATCCCTACATATCGCTCTTCACTCTATGAAATGCAAGTACAGAAAATAATAATAAATTTAAAAACAACCTAAATTAAATTGCAAAAAATACAAAATCAGAGTTACCTGAATTATTCATTTAAATTATGACAACTTCTGAACTAGTCTACCATACAATTAAAAATTAGCTGACTCGTCAACGTGAACGTCCTAAAACGTATGAAATGAGAAAGTGAAATCTTAATTATATTACCTCTGGGGAAAAAAAAAAAAAAAAAAAAAAAAAAACACTTTACAAGAGATACATACGAAAACGTTATTCTTTCAAATTATGATAACCTCTGAACTAGTCTACTATACAATTAAAAATAAGCTGACACGTCAACCTGAACGTCTTAAAACTTGCGAAAGGAGAAAGTGAAATCTTAATCATATCACGAGCTGGCAATTTAAATCTAGGCACACTTTCTTTAATATGGTATATATTCATTCTAAGTTTAGTTCTGAGTTATGATGATTAATAGTCACTCCTAAGTTATACTTAGGATAGTAAAAGATAGTACAGTGCAACTTTAACAATTCGAAATTTTTATTTTTGATTAAACTGAAATTGTTTGAATTGATTTTCCACATAAGCTTTTATTTATTTTTTTGGTAAGTAAATTTCGCTGATTAGTGATTGATGATGCTGAACTTTGCTAAGTCGAACCTTTCTCGAAAAATTCCTTTCTCTTCTTTCTTGACAAGCAGAAACTAAATTTTAAAAATAAACCATGAAGTTTAAAATTACGTAAAGAAAATCTGATGCCGCCAATACATTGATTGCCTCTCATTGATTTTATGTTTTAAAAAGCAACTAGCCTTTAGTCAACTATCACTTCCGGTTGCTCACTTTGTAAATAAAATATAATAATTTGTTTCAATAAATAGAAAGTTCTGCGATACGAAATTTTGAATTA